AGAACCACTAGACTGAGGAACAGCTTCTACCCTGAAGCTGTTAGACTCATGAATCTCTAACCAGAATAATCACTGTGAAAAATCACGTTTCATGTTGCTGCTGATCTGTTTCATGTTGCTGTGTTCATTCATACTCATCTGCTCACACAGACTCATGTTCGTGCTGCTGTTTGGCATATTGTTTTTATTGTTTTTGTGCTGCTCCTGCTTATTGTATTTTTATTAATGTTTCTCTTATTTCATATCTTATTACTGTTTTTCTTTTGCATTTTAATACTTTTGTTGGATGTAATTGGGACCCTGCTTACACAATTTCATTCCACCCACATGTGGTGGAATGACAAATAAAGAATCTTGAATCTAATTTAACACTTTTCACATTTTCTTGCAGGCCGCAGGTCATGTCTTGGAGAAGGTCTGGCTAAAATGGAGATCTTCCTCCTCTTCACCTCTCTTCTTCAACATTTTCGTTTCACTCCCCCACCTGGTGTTTCAGTAGATGAAGTGGATTTAACACCAGTTGTGGGCTTTACTCTCACACCTAAACCTCAAAAACTGTGTGCTGTTCTTCTCAAGTGAGGGCAAGAGATTTTATTCATATTTATAAGTATATAAATAATAAATATATCATAATATATCTATATTATAAATATTATAATTGTTCATATTATTGCAAAAATTAAACCATATTTATGGTGTTATTATTACACTGGACAAATTTACAAGGCCATGAAAAAACTTAATCCTGTCAAAATTGCATGATGTATCTTGAGAACAAAAGGATTCTTACCACAATAGTTGTATCTGGATTCCTCAGAAAAAAGAGGATCCCAATATTGCAAACAAGTTATTTTCTTAATTTGTGGTACTTGTTCATATTCTGCCATAGTTTCTTTTCTCACTGCACAAAATAAAAGGAAAACTGGCTTCTACAGTAATTACATTGATGGATACTTCAATTGTTTATAGATGGTTTAAAGAAGAGATGAGTACATTATCAGATGCTTTTGTAGTTTCCACCATAAAAAGTTGTTGTAAAGTTATGTTCGGGCTGCTGTTTAATATACCGTATTATTTTACATTTTTACTGTTTAGCGTCTATCTTAGATCTTTTAGTGTCTTGTTTAGTGTTTTTTAGTGTATATCTTAGATCCTTATATACTGTGTCTTTTTTTATACTTTATATTTTTGCTATTTTGGGGTGTAACTGGGACATTGGGTTCACAATTTCGTTCCACTTCATGTACCACATGTGATACGAAAGACAATAAAGAAACTTTAATGAATGCACAATAATGAAAGGTTTGTTTAGGGTCTTTTTTGCTCTGCTGGTCCTCCATCTTTTTTATTCCAACTTTTGTTTATATGAGATGAGAGAGCCTGTTTCAGGTGGATCTGAAGAGACACGACCAAAGTCATCTTCATGTGAATTATCCACTGTTTATCAGACACGAGACAGATTTTTGTCAACTGCGAGTTTCACCTTTTCAAGTTTTATGTTTTAGCTTTCCAAAAAATGTGGACCAGTTTTCCAAGTCCTCTTTGGCCCACAAAAGATAGTGGTTCTGATGATGGTGAACTTTGTAAATCAAAACTTTGCAGTGTTCAAACACTACTGCTAAGCATCTTTTAAACCGAGGTGAATGTGGCAAAGTAGATTAAAATTGTCCTTTAAGTTATGGACAATAAACCTCACAATCCCTTGCAAACAAACAGATCAGTACTGTATTTATGTTTATTATTTGCATTTTGATGCACTTTAAGAATCATTTGAAAGTCTGCCCTGAATACACCATTCCCCACAAGATGTCCGTATTGTGTAGAAGTTCTAAAAGCATCCAGCTCCGTACACTTTGATGAGAAATGTAGTCACAATCAGCGGATTTTCATAAGGATTGATGTAAACTAGAATGAATATACTGATGAGCTTTTATATAACGCGTAAATGACATTCCTGCTCTGACATAAGCAAGAAATCACTTCACAATGTGATGAATGGATTCTGTTGGGAAGCAAAAAATTCCTTTAAGAACAACTTTCCTATGACTTACAGTTTTTGTCATTTGAACTCTCACTGCAAATATGTTCACAAAATTATTTTCTTTCAGCTTTTATAACTTTTATTTGTATGTTTGCACAACTCTTCCTCTTATTTGTACAACCTGAACTGATTTCAACTGAAAAATCCTGAAGGGTGAGCGTTGGGTTATGTTTAGATGAAGTATAGTTTGTCTCGTTTTTAAAAGGGAATTTGCATAATGTAATGCACCATGATGGAACTGAACCTGTTTGATTCGTATGTGTTGTTGTTTGTAAATAAAATTATGCTCTATGCAAATGGTGGAGAAAATCATATTTTATTTAGTTTTATGTTCATATGCTGCTGTTTATTTTTAATGTTATTTGCCAACAAAGATGTCAACAGAAATATACATTAAAAAGTTATATGAAAAATTTGTATTCTTTTCACTAACAAGCTTTTAAAAAGTCATGTCAGATTCAATATATTTAGTTAAAACCCTTTCATGCCAGAGTTCATTCACTGAGATTCTGTTCTGTTGAAAAATGACAGATATGTAGCCATTTTGGTAAAACCTTGTAAATAATATACACAATCTCACGTGATATTTTGATGATGATTAGAGCACGTGTTATAAATGACTTCTCCTTAATATCAATAAAATTGGCTTTGTTTATACCTTTTTTTTTCTTCTGCCAAAGCAGTGACGCACGCATGCACACACGCACACACACACACACACACACACACACACATACATAGATCAACATCCTGCGTATTTTCAGTCACTTACATGGGGTAAACAACTGTGGGTGACGTCCGGTCACAAATTTATGTTGTTAAAAACACATTGTCCATTAAAGAAAAAAAAAAATGCTGTTGCAAATCTAGAGTATAACACTTCTTTACCAACTTTAACTGTTTTTATAGAATTAAAAAACTATGGCTGTGCTGTTCCATTAACTTAGTAACCACAAGAGAGAGAACATTTAAACGTTGTCTAGTTGTAAGATTGACGACCCATTGTTTTCATTATTTCTTGTCTCAAACTTTTCTGTCAGCAGGGAGAATAGCTGAACGTTTAAAGCCTAGAAACATGAACCAAAATTATTGATTGTAACGCAATGGGCATCGTCTTTGCTACTTTTTACACAACTAATGTCAGCTGGCTGAACATTTAGAATGTTTCATGCATCTTCTCTTGAGATAAAATGTTTTTTATTTCATAAAAATACATATAAAACAATAATTTATAATATTCGACCAACTTTAGACAATCTTTCCAGCTTCTTCATTCCCCAAACTCATCAATGATCAGTGATGAGTCAACACATAACACCAGACCTGATTTCATAATATATTTATTTGCAAGACTTTTGTTTTCCTTAGAGAATTATTCCTGCAATTTGCATTTTGGTTCCAAGTATGCTGGAAATGTTTAATCAAAGTTAGTTTTATTTGATTTACCTTGACCTTGACTTTTTATTTGTTTTGCCACAAGCCTTTTATGAGACCTTACAGGGTTGGTTAAACATGATGACATGAAGACATTATCTCATGCTTTGCCCCAAACAACAGGCAGTTTTTACTAAACTCCCAAATAACTAACGTGAGTTTTACAGTTTTGTCTGTAAACGTTAGAGGTGATCGTCTTTCACACAAAAGCAGGAGGGAACATTTTGACATAATTGCTGATGCTTGATTGACAGCAAGAACACTGAACAGTGTGTGAGCTGAGATTAACTAACCACCCCCATTTTTCAACACCTTCTCAACAACAGAAATTCAATCTTTGCTTTGTGCACTCCTAAAAAGAACTGGTTTGGTTTCTTTTATAGGAAGTACAAAAGAAGTTGGACTTTTACGTTTAGCTGCTTCAGATTTTCTTTTACTTTCAGAAATGAATTGACTCTTTATTCTGCTTTTACCAGCTCAACATGAATCAGACTTATCTGAAGATACTGAAAATGGTCACAAATTGAAAATTAAAAGGGACATGAAATTGTATGAAAATACTTGATGTTTACTCTGAAAAAGACGTGGTCACCATTAAATGTCACTAAGCTGTTCTTTATTGCTGTTGAAACAAACTGTGCTGTGGACAAAGCTATCATCTGTAATTACTCGTCAATACACTCAGTTATTGTCTATGAATGTTTATCTGTAAATAAAAATAACAGCGTGTCATTAAGGCAGGAATATGATCTGAACTGGTGTCTTGCTAAAAAAATCCAGCTCTTTAAAACTACTTTTCAACTAGTGCCTAAACTAACATTTGTGCCTGTCTGTGTTCAGTGTTGCCTGACAGAGGATGTGGAAGTCATCCAACACCACATTTCCCTCTTCACTCATGACTGACAGCACACAGCTCATGAGGCAAAGGAGAAATGGTGAAACCAACGGCTGGTGTCAAATCCAGTTCATCTTCTGAGACTCCAGGTGGGGGTGTGAAACGAAAATGCTGAAGGAGGGAGGTGAAGAAGAGGAAGAGCTCCATCTTAGCTAAACCCTCCCCGAGGCACACCCTGCGACCTGAAAGAACAAAACGGCTCGGGAGTTTAAACCCAACCATGTCGGAGCAAGTGGGAATGAATAACCTCTAACTTATATATTAAATATGAGAAATAAAGATTTCGTACCTGCAGAAAAAGGCAAGAAGGCATCTCTCTTGATGAATTGACCCTCTTTGTCCAAGAAATGAGAAGGGTTGAAGGTGTGAGGGCTCTCCCATTCACTCTCATCATGCAGGACAGAGGTCAGAAGAGGAAATACAACCGTGTTCTGAAGGCAACACAAGAGCAGATTTATTACTTAAAGCCTTTTCTTTCAGTCAAAGGTAAATTAACAGAGAGTTGCCAACCTTTTTGATAAAGTAACCCTGGAAGGTGACATCTTGACTGGTTTTGTGTGGAATAGCTGTGGGAACGATGCTCGCCAGTCTCTGTGTCTCGTGGATCACAGCATCAGTGAATGGAAGGTTTTTACGATCTTCTACACTAACTTCTCGGCTTCCGATCACTCTGACCAGCTCCTCCTGGACCTGGTCTGCAAAACCAACATCATTGTTAAATAACTTTTATCTGATTTCATATAAAACATGGTAGCTGTGCTAAACTGTACTGTGTAGGTCACGATGGATGTGGCTACACAGCAAACCTGCCAATTTTAACATTTGCTTTACAAAAATCATCTGAAGTTGTTGTGAATTCTTCACTCGAGGGTATTTATTATTAAATCTACATCTTAAGTGAAGACACATGAGGGGGGAGGTTAAAACTGAAAAGATCTCAAGCTCCTGTGATGTTTTACCCTGAAAATGTGGGTATTTGGCCATTAGCAGCAAACTCCATCGCAGTGTCGCGGCTGTGGTGTCAGTTCCAGCAGCAAACAGGTTGGACACTGTGAATGCCAGGTTCTCCTCATGGAAGTGTGTGTCTTTAACACCAGACTCCTGGAATAAAATGGAAAATATCCATAAACCTGTATATGCTGGTAAAACATACACGTTCAACACGCCTTGGGTCTTATAAAACAAAATGTACTGCCTCACCTCATCTTTCTGCTGCCGGATCAGAAAACAGTCCACCAGGCCTCTGCATGTCTGAGGCTCCAGAGTCTCTTTCAGTTGTTGGATTATATCCTTAACATCTCTGATACTTATCGCAGCATTTTTTATCATAAGCTGTCGGTTTTTTATCCATCTGACCAGCCAGGGAAACATGTTGTAGATCTTTAAAAAGATTAAACAAATAATAAAAATCAGTAATAAAATTGTTTACATTTTGGTGTTTATAAATCCATTTTACTTTTGCTGTACTGTAAAAAAATATATTTTTATTTAATCCCTGTTTAAATGAAAATGTCGCATGAAGTCAATGCACAATAGGTTACCAAAGTCTTCAGTGAATATTAAATTTTTTATTTTATCTATGTTTCTTTCTTTGGACAGTACTTTGTAGTAACCTCATATATATATATATATATATATATATATATTTTTTTTTTTTTAATGGTAAAATATTTAGGAAAAGAATACTGATTTATTTTTTATTTTTTAATAAAACAGGTGTAGAGGATTGTACTTGGGGCAGCACGGTGGCACAACTGGTAGAGCTGCTGCCTCTCAGCGAGCAGGTCCCTGGTTCAAACCCCGGTCCAGGGGCCCTTCTGGGTGGAGTTTGCATGTTCTCTCCGTGCATGCGTGGGTTTTCTCTGGGTACTCCAGTTTCCTCCCACAGACCAAAAACATGCATGTTAGGCTGATTGGTAACTCTAAATTGTCCATAGGTGTGAGTGAGAAAGTGAATGGTTGTTTGTCTCGTTTGTCTCTATGTGGCCCTGTGACGGACTTGCGACCCGTTGTTACGTCCCGGCTCGTTTTGGAGGCAACATAAATGACATGACAAAAGTTTGTGTAAAAAAATAATAATGTGACAATTTAATTTTGGCTGAGTTTACAAAATTCTAAACAAAAATCACAGCAATAGCTGGCATTCTTCATACAATTTAAATAAAACAAGAACACTTCTGTTTCTGAACAATGACTCAGCTATTTAAAACAAAATTGAAAATCCCAAGCCAAACAAAATACAGCAACCCAACTAACAATGGTCAAACAAGTGGCTCCACAATGAGAATGAAATCTCCAACCAGACAAATGTGTCTTTGCTACACAAGCCACAGTCTTTCAGAAGCAATAAGACTAAGCAAGACACAGTCTGCACCACCAAAAGTTGGCATACTGCACACCAAGCACAGCAGCACTGATTGAAGGGCAGGGCTGACTTTTATGATCTTCTTCCTCCTCCTGGCCTCTTCATTGGCAGTCGCTGGTGGATGGGTGGTGCTGTCCAAACCTCCTTTGGCCAATCATCTTTGGACAGGTGAGTCTTGAGGGCTTGGTCAAAAGTTCACCAGTAGAGGGAGGCAACGAGCCAGCAGCAACCAGGCATTACAGAAAAGAAAACTGCAAAACTACAAAAGAAGAAAGGCAGTACAGGCCTGAGGCTGTAACACCCAAGAAGGGGTCTCTGCAGGCAAATTCGGAAGGCGTATCTGGGCGCTCATATCTGATTGGACTATAGGAAAGTGGGCGTATCTGGGCGGTCATATCTGATTGGACGATAGGAAAATGGGCGTTTCTGTCCGGCCGGATCTGATTGGACGATAGAAAAATGGGCGTGTCTGGACGGCCGGATCTGATTGGACGATAGAAAAATGGGCGTGTCTGGACGGCCACATCTGATTGGACGATAGAAAAAAAAAAGGCTGAACGATAGAAAAAAAAAGGCTGAACGATAAAATGCCGTAACCACAGACACATGATGTCTAAAAACAAGGCGTTATTGGCAGATTGTGTTAACCACAGGCATATTATGTCTATGGTGTTAACCGGTTCGACATTAGCGGCGTCTCGGTTCGACATCGCTCCAGTATACTGCCGCGGCGTCTCCATAACTTCTTTTTTCGACTCTCTTAACACAGAACTTCCGGTTACATTTCAAAATAAGAGCAACATAACTGGGTAGTGGGGAGAGCTAAATGTTAGGTTTTTTTTTAATACCTAGCCATAACATTAAAAAAACAAATTCCATTTTGGTTGTTGAAAAATGTGAACAAAGTTACAATCGATTCATAAAGAAAGAAAAATATTAATGATACTTAAACTGGCCTTGGGACAAAGGAGGTTTCCTTTAACTTCACATTTTCTTGTTCAACTTGCAGTCACTGCAGATGAGTGATTTGTCAGTTTCTGTAAGATTTCTGCACCTGGAGCAGGTATTTCTGTTTACTGGTTCACTTCCTCAGCTGTCTCACATTTTAAAGGTCAACCCTACTCCATGTTTCAGTAGAAAACAAGCACATTTAGGAGTCAGTACATATCCAGACTTTTGGCCCTCACACCTATACCCAGTTGCTCATGCTGCATGATGAGATCAGATTTATCCATATTTTAGAAATTACATTTAGCTTAGTCGACAAAACAATACAAATGAAGACCGTCTTAAAAAAGCTCTTGGTTTTGCAGTAAGCAGCCTGATTTCAAACTGACATCTTGGACAAAGGTAAAATAAAAATCTTTGTGTTTTCAGAAAAGTTGTTTCAGGACCTCCAATAAACTTATGTACACATCAAAGCACACAAGACAGATTCAGGAATTCTCTTTGTTTTCCAGATTTCACATTTTTTTATTACCTTAAAACATACTCAGACAACATTTGATGCATCATTGAAATTTTTTATTGTGTTTATTGGGACATCCATTTTTAGAAGTCATCGTAGCATCTGTTGGAAACACAAAACACAGTACAGTTAGGGTGTTGCTAGTTGTTACTTAATCCTGGATTGGATTTTAAAGTTAATTTTGATATTTTTTTCACAAGAAAAAAAAAGTTGATTTCCTAAAGTTTAACTATAAATGAAGGAATTTGTGCATTCAGGTAATTGAAAATTAAGTAATTTCTCTAACATCCAACCCATTTTAGCCACTGAGCCATACCAAACACCCATAATCTATTCTTGAATGAATTATTGACTATTATTGACAAATTACAGACTTTTTATTGAATAAGTTATTACTCATTATTGAGTAATGAAAGTCAACATCAGATGTTGGTCAACATTGTTGGGCAACATCTTGGGGTCTTCTAGAGTCAGTCTGAAGTGAGAGTGGTCCCTGACATGGCAGAAAGACATAGATATAATTAACAGCTTTTATTTATTTATTTTTCAGCTAATAACAACTTTTATTTTTTTTTTTTTCATATTTTTTCAGTTATACACAGCTTTTAAATATTTATTTTTCCAAGTATTAAGAACTTTTATTTTCAGCTTTTATTTTGAAAAGGAGCCGAGTGAGGCTCACTTTACCTCAGTGCGTTACGACAACAACGAGAGAACGGTCGAAACTATCGTGACCTACAATAAACGTACTTCAATAAAATGCATAAGTGAAAACATAACATACTTTATAAGTACAATAAACCATATTTCTTTGTCAAATATCGCAAAGAAACGTTACCTCATCAATAATCCTCGTGACTTTGAGGGTTACCCACAGCCAATCAGTGTTCGCCGCCGACAAACGCCTATTAAATACTGTTAGCCAATCAGTGTTCGCCGCCCATAAACGCCTACTCGCCAGAAACGCCCACTTTTGGTCTGCAGAGACCCCCTTCTCCACCCGTCCAGGGTGTACCCCGCCCCTCGCACAGTGATTGCTGGACATGGGCACCGGCGACCCCCGTGACCCAAAAAGGAACAAGCGGGTAAAGAAAATGGATGGATGGATGGATGAAGATTGTATTTGAGCTTGGAAACAGTAAGGTGATATATTGAAATCAGATGTTTGAGTAAGTTGTGTTTTTGTACATGAACAGTTGTTTTAAATCATATCTACTCGTTGGCCTTTGAGTATTTAAATTATTATGGTTTTTTATTATTTACAATGTTTGGCTGTATACAGATATCTTTTTCATTTTTGGAACACCTGTTCAGAACTAAAACTCTTTCATCCCACTGTTTTCAAAGTCTAGTTATGTTCTGCATAAACTTGGTTCTAAAAATGCTCATCTTGGTTCATTATGAACCAGACACTGATGGACAAACTCAGACTAGGATTAAGTCCCTCTCTTTGCTACTGGGTCCTGGACTTTTTAACCAACAGACCAGTCTGTGAGAATCCACAATTTCTCCTCCTCCACCATAAACTTCAGCACAAGCTTCCCTCAGGGCTATGTGTTGAGCCCTCTCCTGTTCACTCTGCTCACATATAATTGCCCACCTACCCATCCAGGCTGCCATATTATAAAGTTTGCAGAAGATACAGCAATAGTGGGATGCATCACAAACAAAGATGAGTCCAGCTACAGGCAGGAGGTGGAACACCTGGAGAGCTGGTAAAGGAAGAACAACCTTCACATCAATGTGAAGAAGACGATGGAGATGGCCCTGGACTTGTAACGGAACAAACACACCTACCAGCCACCACCACCCCACCCCCCAAACCCCCGAATATAGGAGGATCTGTGGTGGAAGTGGTCTCAACTCAAGCTACAAGTAGTTTGGTGTGCACCTGAATGACTTAGTTTTTGGTGTATATCTTAGATTTTTTAGCGTACTGTTTATTTTTTGTTCAGTGTATATCTCCGTGTAGGGATCTGCACCTGCCCTGCTCCGTGCAGATAGTTAATGACTCTCAGGTGCCACGTATTGGGTTTAATTAGATACACTCCTTTATATACGGTGCTCTCCTGCATCTCAGGCAGGGGAGCATTAGGTGCTTAAGCTGCATCTTCATGGTCGCCTCCTAGTGCCTTGGTATTTCTTGTTTTTCCTACGAATATAAGTAGTATCGCTGCCGCGACAGCATTATTTGTTATTGTTGCCTTTTTGTGATTAAAACACCTTTTTTGTAACCTTGTTGGAGTCCTGCTTGCATTTGGGTCTCAACCACTGCCCAACCGTGACACTCAGATCTTTATTTGCTGTTTCTTTATATACTTTATACTTTGCTATTTGGGGGTGTAACGGACCCTGGGCACATAATTTCATTCCACGTCATGTACCACATGTGATGGATCAGCAATAAAGGTACTTGAACTTGATTCTCACACTAAATTGAATCAGACTTTAAGCTTACCTGGATTTGTGCAGAGCCTGCCACACGTATCGACTCATTGGCTCGACTCACCAGATTTTTGAATCGAGGGTCATTATATTCAAATCTACTTCCATACACAATAGAGGAGATAACGTTGGATGTTGCGCAATTAAGTGGACGAGCTGTATCAAATGGTTTACCTGAAAAACCACAAGTGAGAATAAAGTACCACACAAATGCCGTCTTCAGCATAATGCTGATGATTTAAGCACAATAAATGTAAAATAATGTAAGATTATAGTTATAAGAAAATGTTTATGTAGTCCTATGTGTTATTTAAAAAAACAAGAAGAAATAAATCTACCTTTCTGGTTTTCGAACACATGAATCAAATGGCCGCACTCCTCTAAGATTTTTTCCTCAGCAACTCTTCTTCCCATCCCAAAGTCTCTGAGAGTTGAGAGGGCAAAACGTCTCATCTCTTTCCAAGAGTCTCCATTTGAAAACAGAATTCCTTTCAAACACAGCACAAAGAGTTAATAAATTAACTATACCATGCTCTGTTTATGTGGTATTGCTCTGTAACACTTGAAACAAGCCTCTGACCTGCACAGATATACATGAACTCAATGAGGACTTGTGGTAAATGTTAACTAGCATTGTTGTGAGCAGTCAGTAGCTGCAAACATTTGAAGATGTGATGCTCCAGCCTTATTTGGCTGATTTTATCTGATGTCACCTTATTTTCAGTATTTATTGTTGCTCATTTCATTTCCCGTGTAATATTAAACATTTTAAAAGACAAAGAAGGTCCATACCATGACCTTTATTTGTATCCTTAAATATAGGCAAGACTTCTCGATCTCCAAACTCTTCTGCGTAGCTGACCAGTGCCTCTTTGACAGCCTTGTGTCCAGCAAGGACCACCACCTTTTGTGGTCCAAAATAAACCGTAAACACAGAACCGTAGGTCTTGGAAAACTAGAAGAATTGAGGAATGAAGACAAACAGATGAATTAGTAAATTCAAACATGGTTCCAAGTGACTTGTTTTGAGTGAAACTCACCTCACACAGTGTTCTGTAAGTTCTGCTGAGATCCAGTTGCAGCAAGTTGCCAAGCAGAGGCAGAGGTCTGGGTCCTGGAGGTTCTTTCCTCAAGTCCCCTGAGGTGGATCCAACAGAGACAAAATACAAAATGAGGAGGAAAACAGCTCCCATCACTATGGTAGGACTGGTAAAGAAAAAGATAACTAAATCCTTTAAAGGCTCCATTTTTAGTCTCGGACTTGATAACCCATGGAGCTGTTTGTGCTCCTGTAAGAAAGTCCAGGTTGTTGTTTGAGCTTTATCCTCACACCTACAAACCTGTGCTCCTCAGGGCAGTGGTGTCACATGAGCTTGAGGCCTCCTACTGCTTTCAAACACAAGAAAACACAATTACACATTTTAGACACCTTCACATTCAGTGCACAAAGTTGTTTTTCAGTGAACAACAAATGCTCTACATTAAACATTAAAGTGTACTGAACAGTTTTTTTTTATTATTTTGTTGTTTTTTGTTAAAAGTTTCATTTAAAAGTTTCATCTGCAGAATTTCTAACCCCAGTGGAAGTTTCCCTCATTATTGTAGAACCTCAAGTTACATGAAAACCTACTTTCATGTAATGGAACACACCTGAACATCTAAAAGCAGATTATTTTATTTTTCTTTCTTTAGAGGTATTCAGTTTCTCTGAAAGAATGTGAACTGTTGTAATTATGGTTTCTGAAGAGATTACATTTTCACTACTTAACCAAATAAAGTAGCTACACTCCTGGATGTTTATTAAACCAAGCAAATGATCTTGGCCTTAAACATTTAACAACTATTATTTTAAAATGCTGTAAACTGCATCACCTCTTGTTAACCCAGAGGAAAGATTACCATTTATACTTCAACATGTACAGAGGATTCTTTGTTTGGTTTTGTTCAAATAATTTCATTTTTTTATTTTGCATTAATCCTCGTTTTTCAGGCTGCTCATTCCAAAAGACTTTAAATATTAATATTACAAATACACTCTATATTTAATTTAATGCCATTCAAACAGGTGAATTTAATTATTATTTGATGCAAATGTGGTGCCACAGACGAAAAATAGGCAGAGAATCTTCAGTTTGCCAATAAATGTGTGAAGAAAAGTTGCTAAGATTCCTAAAAAAGGACTTCTATATTAAGCTTTCCAGTTTGCATTAAATAAATGATTGAACAATTAAAGAAAACTGGTCACATTTATGGTTTTTAAGATGCAAACTGACGCTGAACTCTGATGAGCTTGGACGTCAGCAGCAATTTGTCTGGGTTTGGAAATGTAAAAAAGTGGTGAGAAGATTCAGATTTCTGCCTCTTTCTTGGAAAAAGCAGATGGAGGAAAATACAGACTATTAGTCCAGAGGTGGGATGGGTTAGGTCCTGTAACAAAAGGTAATTTAACATTTTTTATGAAGGCATCAGTGCAAATTTTAAAGCAACAGACGGCACCTGCAAGATAACTTTCATCACCAGCAACATTTGTGCATTTTTTAACAAAACTGTGTAAAAGCACCTTCCAGGTATGGCTGCAGAAAATATCAGAAACACTTTTCTACATGCCAAAACATCAATTTGGCGTTGGTAGCCGAGTCGTTTATAACACATGCTCATCATCATCATCATCATCATCATGTTAACTGGAGATTTTTTTACAAGTTTTGACCAAAATGTTTACAAATCTGTCATTTTTCAACAGAATCTCAGGAAATGAACTCTGGCATGAAAGGAACTTAATTAAATATAATGATTCTGACATGACTTAAAAAGCTTATTAGTGAAAAGAATAATCATTTTTCATATAGTGCTAACTTTTTTGGTATTTCTGCTGACATCTCTGTTTGCAAACATTAAAAGTAAACGGCAGCATTTGAACATAAAACTAAATAAAACACGATTTTCTCCACCATTTGCATAGAGCATTATTTTATTTAAAAACAACGCATATGGATCAAACAGGTTCAGTTCCATCATGGTGCAGTACATTATGCAAATTCCCTTTTAAAAACACGACAGACTATACTTCAACTAAACATAGCCAGACGCTCACCCTTCAGGATTTTTCAGTTACAATTCTTTCAGGTCGTACACATAGTAAAGGATGAGTTGTGCAAATATACAAATAAAAGTTATAAAAGCCAAGAGAAAATAATTTTGTGAACATATTTGCAGTGAGAGTTCAAATGACAAGCACTGTAAATCATAGGATAACTGTTCTTAAAGGAACAACAGAATCCATTCATCACATTGTGAAGTGATTTCTTGCTTATGTCAGAGCAGGAATGTCATTTACACGTTACATAAAAGCTCATCAGTATATTCATTCTAGTTTACATCAATCCTTATGAAAATCCGCTGATTGTGACTACATTTCTCATCAAAGTGTATGAAGCTGGATGCTTTTAGAACTTCTACACAATACAGACATCATGTGGGGAATGGTGTATTCTGGGCAGACTTTCAAATGATTTTTAAAGTGCATCAAAATGCAAATAATAAACATAAATACAGTACTGATCTGTTTGTTTGCAAGGGATTGTGAGGTTTATTGTCCATAACTTAAAGGACGATTTTAATCGACTTTGCCACATTCACCTCGGTTTAAAAGATGCTCAGCAGTAGCGTTTGAACACTGCAAAGTTTTGATTTGTAAAGTCTGTCCTAGCCCATGTGTAGAACAAAATATAAATAAAGTAAAAATCATTCTCAAAGCAACTTTAACACAACAAGAGAAATGCATAACCAGGTCCTGATTAAAAACGTTCAGATTTTTCCATCACAATTTTTGACAAACAGATGTTGAACTGTAATGGCCGACCGTGATGATGCCACATGTCGCAGCTGTGACGTCTTTGGCAGCAAACCAGCACCAGCTCGTCACGAGAAGTGAAGAAGAAGAAGTATGAACAGATGTATGAACTCCGGACGGATTAAAAGTGCTCAGAGGAAGGACGGCCACGAAGCTCTCCGTGCTGTGGTCTTTCTCGCTGTAGTTTATGCAGACTGTAGTTTATGCAGACATTCATTAATGATTACTGATCCTTTCCAATCAGTCTTGAATGAAGTAAAAACAGTTGTCGTAGCATGAACGTGCCACTGGAAACAACAGTGTTGGAATGTAAATAAATAAATAAAAATCATTTGTCAGATAAGGCTAAAAGGTGAACAACAGGTTTATGATCGTCCGTAAGAGTGGTCAGTTCACCCGTGATCAAAATCATATTAAAGCACAAACTCTTGGTCAAATAAAACTATAAATAAAAACAGCACAATCTAACACACAAGCCCTGTCCTATACAGCTCAGCGTAGTGGGTGAGAGATGTCCTTGTGTTTGACTTCACTAAAAAAGGTGCAGAAGTGAGTGTTCATTACTTGGTTTGATCCCCCCCATACACACACACACACATCCATACACACACACCATCACACCATCACACCGTTAGCATCGTCTCATAAAGGCAATGGAGACAAAGAAATGCTGAATGATGCAGCTGGACCGATGACAGTGAATCTTGATGTTCAAGTTAGACTAAAAGTTCTTCTCTCCTGTTCACAGCCTGCTGTCCTTTCACATGTGTGCTGTGTGCACGGCAGGAACATGGCTAATGATCCCTCATGCTTCCTTTAAGGCTGTGAACAGTGCTGGAACTGAGCGAAGCTGAGGAACACCTGCTCCAGAGTTATCTGGCTCACGCAGTAGTCTTCGATCCGGTATTTCTCTTTGGCTGCCTCCAAAGTGCCAAAAACCTGAACAGGGGAGCGCGGAACAAGGACAAAGAACATGAAACTAAACGTTTACATTATTACAATTTGTAGACGAAACGTGTTATCATATATCGTTTCAGTAATTTTATAGTGAAACTGAAATTGTTTAAATCTAATTTATGCACTTCTGCATTTCAAAATGCTCTAATCGTGTTCTACGTTATCTTTAGGTTAGTTGTTGTATTTTTATGCATATTGGAGAATATCAGTGATGTCACAACTATTTTGATGAAACATGAAATCTAAGAAAATCATTTCTGTGGGAGTTTCAATGTTTTTAAAATATTGTGCTCCTGTTTTTTTTGTTGTTTTTTTTTAATGCGTGTAATTTGTCCTGTGTTTGTACCACAAGACCAGCACATTTTAGTTTTCTGCCAGAAAAACTAGATGCATATAAAGATGACAGATATTCAATTTTAAAATAAATAAATAAATAAAATATTTTCAAATGTGGTTCACAAGTTAAATACAACTTAAATTGTGAAGTTTATTCTGGCTAGAATGAAAAAAAAAAAAGTTAAAACGGTTACAGTACTGCGCAAAAATGCCAAGTTACCCTTTTAATTTCTTTTCAATAAACCAGATTATTTTTTAGAAATACTTTTTTTCTTCAAAGCTTTCTTGAGGGACAGTTTTACAGGTTTTCTGAGATATTTTAAAATTCATCTTTGGAAACTGACTGCATTATCTGCTCATCTACCCATTTATTTTTAGAAGCATCTTTTTATGTTTAACATAAAAAGATGAATAATTTGAAGATCATTGCCTTATTTTGTCCACTAGAGGGGGCTGTAATCCAGCACATGTAAAAAAATTGTGTTTTTCCGTCATACAGTAAAAGAAGCTGTCAGTTGTTGGATGATAAAATTGGTGACTGTACCTGTGCCCAGGTTAGTGTTTTATCTGTCAAATGATAGTGAACCATTCCCTGGTGCTCATCTTTCAGCTGACATCCTGTGGTGACAGACATTTAACGTTAAACCTCAGTTTGACTCCATAATTCAGTCACAGCTATAGTTTCACATCTTTTTACAGCTTTGTACCAGACCTGGGAAGGTGCTTTCAATGAAGTCTTTAAACAGCAGCAGGTCACTGTCCTCTAGCTCTGCCTCCACGTGCACTTTAGCCAGCAGGGTGTAGCCACTACCAAACTTGCTCTTCAGGTGTTGGGGACTCCCGAGGCACTTGAACTGCCCATTGACCATCACCGCCAGCCTGGTGCACAAGGCTTCACACTCCTCCATACTGGTGAGTGAACATGTAAAATGGTAAGAAATCTTTGGCTTCTGTTATTCATTTATCATGATGATGTAATTAAACCATGACCATCATAAATAACTCGCCTGTGAGAAGTGATTATCACGGCTTTGCCCGACTCTCGAGTCCGAGTAACGGCATCCCACAGCAGCCGCCTGGCTACAGGGTCCATCCCTGTTGAAGGTTCGTCCAGGAAGACGACTGGAGGCCCACCAATCAGAGCCATGCCTGCACTTAGCTTCCGCTTGTTTCCACCACTGCACAGATTTCTGTATTAACATCTGCTCAACACAACAGAGCAACAGTCAGGACAATGTGTGCTCCACCGACCTGTAGCTGCGGATCAGTTTATCAGCATGAGGCTCGAGCAGCAGCGACCTCAGGACGTTCTCCACACAGCCAGAGACATACCTCTCTGGTATCCCTCTGAGCCTGGCGTACATACTTAAAGTCTCTCTTCCTGTCATGTGGTCCAGCACAGCATCAAACTGAGGACAGTAACCTATTCGCTGCTGCACCTGAAATCACGAGATAACGGCTGCAGTCAGATTTCAGTGTCGACAAGTTCAACCTTCAAGATTTCATCATTTCAAAGAGAAAACAACACTCCTTGGGTGAATTATGGGTCATTTTTGTACCTTCTTAATGTCCCTCAAGATGCTGTATCCATCTATGAAGGCGTCGCCAGATGTGACGGTCTCGTCACCTGTCAGCATCTTAAATGTTGTGGTTTTCCCTGCTCCGTTGAAGCCTAAAAGGCCGAAGCACTCCCCTTTCCCGACAGCGAGAGACAACTTGTCCACAGCCAGTATGCTCTGCCCACTGCTGTACACCTGGCAGGGACAAACAGGACGTCTGGACCACATCTTCAGATCTCAGAGCACGTGAATCTAAATGAGGTATCGTCCTACCTTGCTCAGCTCCTGCAGGACAAGAGGGCTTCCAACCATAGACTCAACAACTGGCTGGCACTCCAAAACCCTCTTCCTCTCTTCGGCTACATCTCTGTCCTCTGGAAGGATCGCTGCATCCTGTAGGAGAGGCAACTGGACACAAAGAGAGCGAAACGCGACATGAAAATATGACCTAACCCTTCAGGTTAACAGAAACTCTTTTAACAATATTTACCAAAACCTGCCAGTGTTTAACTATGAACAATGTCAATCCTGTAGAACGTGGTTTGTATTGTTGAGGACATGTAGCAAAACATTTATCGTTGTATTTATTTAATTTATTTGTACACAAAAGTTAGTAGAACTTCCTTATGAGAAACAAAACCAGAAGGCAAACAATACCTAAATTCTCTGGAGTTTTACTAAATCCATCTGCATCTGTTATTACAGAAATGCTTTAGCTTGAAGAAAGTGAATTATGCAGATGCCTCTTCTTAGGTAAAGCAAGCCTTAATTACGTACTTTTTTTTTGTCTTGCAGAAGCCTTTTTAATTTGTTCTACCTGTTTACGATTTCTGCACAGCAGCGTGACGAATCTCCACAGAGTGTGGACGCACTGCAGCTCGACAACGTACAGCAGGATATTGAAGACGGCGCCCTGCACCGCCAGGGACACGAGAAAGCGCCCAATACCAGGCTCGTACATTGAGAAGTAGTTTGGCTGGTAGGTGATGTCTGGAAACAGAAAAATGATATAAAGAATAATGTAAACATATAGGAGCATAATTAGTCGTTAGATCTTGGTCGAGAAATCACAGTTTCCTTATTTTATACAGGATCTAACTTGTTTAACTTGTTCAAGCTGCGTTAGGACAGTACTTACTCCACACTTGGCAGATGAATTCGTTAAGGGGACTCGCGGTGCAAAACTTGATGAACTCATAGTTCTGGTAGAACTGGCTGACAGACATGCCCAGGCAGTAGTTTGGGAAAATCAGGAACACTTTATCCAGCAAGTGTGACAAGTTCTGCAGGTTTAATTCTGCAGAGGAAAATTGAAAACAAGCAAACAAAGATGATAAACATTTTTATCTGATCTCTGAATGATCTCCTTGCTTGAGTCATTTCCCCATGATACCGTTGGGGCGGTCTTCACATCTACTGTTGAAATCACACCAGCAGATTCTTACCTTTCCACACAGAGAGGCTTCACACATCCCACTCCTCCGCAATAATCAACCAAGTGCCAATTTCTTGAACGCGATTCCTCACAGTCTTCCCACACAGAAATACTACGCATTGTACTCGGTGAGAAACAGCGAGGCCGTGAGAGTCAAATATTCAAGGTCTAGACATCGGCATGATCACATCATCAGAGTTCAGATTATGTTTTCAGATCGTCGTTTTTGAAGAAGTGATGAGCCATTTAGAGATGGACTTTGGAGTCAACCCAATTCAACATGGCTGCCACAGCTAAGCCAAACACAAAAATGTTTTTTTATTTTTTATTTATTCATTTAAATTCCTTCAGACATTGTACAAGAGTTCTATTCATTTAACATCTAACACTTTCCTTCTCTTGTTTTAGTGGCAAACTGCAGTGCACTTTCAGAAACAGTCGTACTGTTGACTCATCTGTCACACTCTTTTGTGATTTGAAACCCGCTACAACGAGTCGTTGGCGATGGTTCGTTTCTCACCTGGGATTGTCATGATGGTGACAGCCAGAAAGGTGGCAGTGCCAGAAATCACGTTGAAGATGGTCAGGCGTGTGTAGGCGGAGGCAGCGGTGGAGAAAAAGAAGCTGAGCAGGTACATCAGAGGCACGACAGCCCACCCGTAGAGAAGGAGTATCAGGAGCACGTCGACAAGGTGGCTGTTCTCAACAAAGGCCTCGACTCCAAATGCTCGGAAAACCACCTGAAATACACAGACGTCAAACTTCTGCCTTCTACGATTTAAATGGGAGCAAGTATTCCTTTTAGACCATGTTTTCATCTTTATTCTGCTGCTTCATGTCACACTGACCAGCATGAGGAGGCAGGGCAGCATGAAGTTCACCAGGTCCCACAGCAGGGCCGAAAGCCAGAAGTTTGAAAGGTAGACGCCGCTGACCTTCTGCACGTGCTTCGACTTGATGGCCGACTCCGTAACGAGCAGCAAGGCAAAAGTGCTGGACAATGAGGCCATACCGTACATCAAGTTGATGGCGATGGCAAACCCAGTTCTGCTCCTTCAGATAAAACAGAAAAGGTCAAATAAAATGACAAAGGCAGAGAAACAAACAAACATTTGAAATATTATTGCTCGTCTCCAAACCTGTTCATTAGTTTAAAGCGTTTTAGTTTACTCATATTAAATAATATGCCACGCCTGCTGGACTTACTCTGTGAACTGGTTCCGTGCAGTCTCGGACAGATTTCGAGGCATGGGGTAATTGCTGGTCTCTATAGAAGCACTGGGCCCAGCTATAAGTTGGAACAGAGCGCTGTCCACCATCATGAGGGCCGTGGCGACCGTGTGGTAGCCCTGATTGTTGAAGTAAGCCGTTGCTTCGGAAATCTGAGAGCTGCCGCTGAAGGCAGCCCCCACCACGCAGCGCTCGTTGAAGCTGCTGCCTTCCCTCTCTGCCTGGGTCAGGACGTAATCCGTGAAGTCTAAACGAGACAAGACAGAGAAGACGTCAACAAACAACAACCGTCACATCCTCCCACAAACAACACACCTGGACTAAACTGGTTATCTTCACTCTTTATAAGTTTGATTTGCTGTTTGCATCCGTCGTCATTTAACACTTCAAGTAAAACGTTCTTATAACCGTGTTCATCTCCACCTTTGGTCTTGTGTTCCAGTTGTTTTATGTTGCATTTCTGCTGCTCTGACTCCCATTAAATCTCTTTGTAGTAGCTCGTCCACATCCTGAGCCTTTGAGTCATTTGGACTCCACCATTTTGGGTTTTCTGTTTATCTTTGTGGCTTTTGTATAAGTTCTGGATCTACTTGCATTTGTTTTGTTTTTATCTTTGTTGTTGGCTATGTGTGGATAATCTGTTATCGTTGTAGTCAGGATGCACCGATACCAGTATCAGTCAGACAGTGTGTGTGTGTGTGTAGTCATAACAGTATTTTGCTACCAGTTTACAGAAGGGTGACGTTCACCTTTCACTTAAGTGGTCAGGTGGAAAAGGAGGAGCATCATCAGCTGTGTGGAGATACGAAACAGCCCATGTGGAAATATTTCAAAGTGAACAGTTGAGCAGAAGAAAACCTTGGAAATATACAAATCTGAGCCTGAGCTTCACGGCAATTTTACCAAACTTGACTACGGTTATCAGAGGTTTCCAACCACAGGTCATTGACGAGCCTGAGAAGCTGCTTAATGAGCTGCTTATTAAGCAGAAATTGCTGACAGTCTAAGGATTTTGCTGCATGTACTTGTGCTGCTGTGTCTTAAAGAGGTAACCAACAGAAACTCTATTACCTTGTAGTTTTTTGTAAAATTAGAAGTTCTGCTAACTGTAAAAAGTGTAATGACTTTAATTAGTACTCATATGGGTAATTGGAAAGTACTCACATATAAGCGCTAGTACCCAATTTAAGAAAAATTGCAGTTATTTTGCAGCTTATTGTCATGGGGAGTCTCCTTGTTTTTGTGCCATTTTTAACGTCTTTGTAAATATCTGTAATTACTTGTGTCTGAGTGAATCCAAGTATCCTAGTAGTCAGAACTTTGGTTGAGTATTTGAATCTGATTTCAGTCTGTCTGAGGCTGCTGTGATTGATTTCACGAATCTGTGCAGTTCTTGGATGAATCTTTGTGTTGATTTGATTGACTTAAGAAAAGTAACTTTAAACAAACACACTGAACCAAACTTTACAGCCCTATATATATATATATTTTTTTTTTTAATTCTTACCTGTGATATTGATAAGGTCAGCACGCTGGGCTGAGAGCTGGGAAGCGTAGACATTTGCTAAATCAGAAGCAAGGGGACCCGACCCAGGCTGCACAGCCACAGGGACCTTGGTGGGCCCATAATGACTGAGGGCCAGCTTCAACAGAGGAGCATTCTTGTGATTGGGAAGAGTTTGTGCCACGACTAAGGCCACGACGGTGAAGATTAAAGGGACCAGGAACTGAGCCACCATCACCTTCCAGTTTCTCCAGCTGTACAGCGCCCTCTTCAGAAACATGGCATAAAACTGCTGCAGGTGTAGTCTCACCTGGTGGAGGACAAAACGGCAGCGCTGGTTAAATCATATGTGGGCCACAATACGAGCTACACTTTGCATCTAAAGTCTTACCCCAGTGTTCAGCTTGATGTTGGAGCCATCCTCTGAGATGAGCGTGCCACTGTCTGTGAAATCAGTGACATCTGTCAGGGCGCTGATGCTGCTGGAGTCATCCATGATCCAGTCGTGAGAGCGTCTCTCATGCTGGTACTGTAGGGCCGGCAGCTGGATGGCCTGAATGTCCAAACTAGAGTCCACCAGCTTTCCAACTCTAAAAAACACAAATCAATCACAGTGGAGCCACCTCCTTACAGTCTCCAATGACAAAAAGAAAACCTTTATAGGCAACAAAATAAAACATATCTCTCAGTACCAAAGTTCCTGCTCAGTAATCCAGGTATAAAATCCAACAATGTTCAGTCAGGTCATCTGGACGGTTTCAGCAAACTGGTTTTTTTTCCATTATGGAGTATGGTGTTTGTGGGAATCAGTTTTGTTTGGTGGCTTCTCAGATTGAGGAAGTCCTTTGGATGAAGGACGAAACGTCTCGGCAAAAAAATAAACTGTCCAGATGACCTGACTGAACATTGTTGGACAATTCTCAGTAATAAGTTTAAATTACACTAAAAAACAACGAGTTGCTTCGCAACATTCAGATACATAGAGTTCTTTAAATTTCATGAAATGACATCTGCTGTGTTACAGCCTGCTGATTGTTTTTACAAGCTTTTATTTCCAAAAGCTCAGTAAGATAAAAACAGTGAGGAGTGTGTGTGTGCGGAAAAAAACAAATCTGAGCCTTAGTATATTCAGTTTTCATTGAAAGAAAGGCATTTATTTGCACAGCAGACTAAATCCAGCTACACTCTCATCTTGTCGGGTACAAAGTGCTTTTGTGAGCATATAGTGCAGCTTTGTCCATTTTCTTTGCACCAGATTATCTTTTGTATTCTTCACAGTCGCCAACTAACACTATAACATGGCGTTTTACGTATTTGCTGATTAAAATAATTTTGTTTTAGTTTAACAGTTTTACATTTTGATTTAATATTTGGATGAAATTGTTCCATATTGTATTGCTATTATTGTTTGTGGTGAACAATAAACAGCGGTGATGAGCCACGGAACTGAGCCGTAAAACATTAACCAACAAAAAGATTATTGATCACGGTTTGTCCCCGTGTTCGGTTTTGGTGTATTGCGTAAATGCCCAGAACACGCTGCTGTTCTCACAGTACGTCTTGTAAATAATGAGACCCCGAGAACACTGATGTTAACATTTAAACAGAGGGCAGCTGAAGTAGCATGCAGTGTTCGTTTTCTGCACAGGAAGCAGGTGTGCTTGTTGCCACAGATACATCTAGACCATGAGAAAGCAGAGAGAAGCGATGGGTGAACTGTGGGCAGCTGGAAAATGAGAGGAAAACAGATCCTTACAGGCTTTAATTATTAATTTTGTTCTGACACCAAAAATTATACTATAAATAATTTTCTGTCACAGTTCATTTAATCACCCAAAGCTGGTTTTAATGTAAATATTTCACGTATATGAAACCCATTATCTAACATAATCATATTTCCATTAAAATTCAGCACATTGCATGGATTTCCATCATCTGTGGCATAAAATCAATGCATGAGCTGAGAACCACTAAATGTGGGAGCTTTACTTGCAGAATCACAAACTACTGATTCAAAAAAGTTGGAGAAAAGATGTTTACCTGAGGAAAACCTCCTCCATGGTGGTCACTGAGGCTCCGTAGCTGGCGATGCCCAGCTTCTCTTTGTTCATCTCCAGCTCAGCAAACAGCAATTCAAACCTGCAAGGAAAGTATTTATACATGTGTGAAGGCTGAGTCAGAATTCACACTCTCATGTTCCCGTTTATAATTTTTACAGCATATTTTTTGCACTTAAAAGTACTTCTGATACTTTGTGCCATTTTAATTATTCATATATCAAAACATCCATCTCAGTTGGGAACAGTGTGCTATGACTTTCTTTGGGTCTTTGTAACTTTTAGGCTTTTCAAAATATTTAACTTTTTTTTTTTTTTTAATCCATAAAATTTCTTCAATCATTAAAAAAATTGAAATCCGTTTCAGATAACTGGTACTATTTTTATCTTCCTAGGCTCATTTTAGCTAGTGTTCAGCTAGTTTTATCTTTTGGCTACCAATTTTACATGCAGCTTTAAGCTACTGTTCTACTTTTATCGCTTTAACTTATTTTAGCAGTGGTTTAGCAAATTTTAGCTTCAGTTTCGTTAAATTTAAGTTTAACATTTGTTCTTTCAATTTTAGATTTATCACCTGTTTGGCTATTTAGCTACTTTTTGTCTAATATTAGCATTTGTTTTACCTTTTGTGTGTACAGTTCTGCCCCTTTTAGTTTTTAACTACTGTTCTGATGGTTTTAGGTTTAGCTACCGTTTACTGCTTTTTGCTTTTAACTATTCATTTGCTGCCTTTAGTTTTATTTTGCTGATTTTAGCTTGTATTCTGCTTATTTGGGCCTTTGTTTTTGCCCTTTTTATCTTCTGTTCTGCTTGGTTTAACAACCCAGTTTTAACTTCTTCTGTAAAATTATTCTGCATTTTGCAGAAAATGTAAAGTCTCTAGTTTAAATGTTGTCTATCTATGGTTTCTAAGTATACTTTAAAATATGTTAGAGTAAAAACAATAGGGCAAAAAGCTAAAAAGGTGGAGAGAACAATAATTTCCAATGCTGCCAAAAAAGAAAGAAGTGATCATTTAAGATATTTTTACCACAATTACTCCAATTACTGTGCACTAATCCGACTGAAAGAGCTACAGTGAAAGCCTGATTATGATTTGTAATCATAAGATTTAAATTTTCATCATGAAAAGTGGTGACCTCCTTTCAAACCATTCAAAATAACAAATTTAGCCAGTGATTGTAGCCAGAGTCTCACCATAACCATCAGGTCACCTCACACTGTGTAATGGTATGTATTTTATTATGAATGATCAGAAGCCAAATACACTCACCTGCTGGTGCTTTCTTTGGGCAGAATATAAGAGAGCTCGGCTCCAGCGCTGCTCTCCAGCGTAGCGTTAGGAACATACATGTGAATAAGGTGTGAGATCTCAGACACATTGCAAAGTGCGTCCTTAACTATCACCATGTGGTAACCAGCACCTGAAGGCAGAAGAATGAGGCAGAGTTGTGTCATTTGACCTCAGGAGTTTGGCATGATGACAACGTTTGGATTTCCATTTCCCAGATGTTGTATATACGTATGTATATATGTATATACAGGTCCTCCTCAAAAAATTAGCATATTGTGATAAAGGTCATTATTTTCCATAATGTAATGATAAAAATAAAACTTTCATATATTTCAGATTCATTGCACACCAACTGAAATATTTCAGGTCTTTAATTGTTTTAATACTGATGATTATGGCATACAGCTCATGAAAACCCAAAATGCCTGTCCCCAAAAATTAGCATATCATGAAAAGGTTCTCTAAACAAGCTATTAAGCTATTGTTTTTACTCTAACATATTTTAAAGTATACTTAGAAACCATAGATAGACAACATTTAAACTAGAGACTTTACATTTTCTGCAAAATGCAGAATAATTTTACAGAAGAAGTTAAAATTGGGTTGTTAAACCAAGCAGAACAGAAGATAAAAAGGGCAAAACAAAGGCCCAAATAAGCAGAATTTTTTTTTCTTCTTGCTATTCTACGGTGAAACCAGACGTTTTCCCTCTCTGTGTGCAAAGAATCTGAAATATATGAAAGTTTCATTTTTATCATTACATTATGGAAAATAATGACCTTTATCACAATATGCTAATTTTTTGAGAAGGACCTGTAGATATGTGTCATTTCTGAACTTTTTTTAATAAATGACAGTCTCATAAAAACCCATTTCAGAGTGATATGTTGCTAATGTTCTGAGCTCTTTCCACCTTCCTCTTCCTCACCATATTTGTTCTTAAGGAAGAGCGATGACCCGCAGCATTGCAGCTCTCCTCCTGCCATGATGGCGATGCGATCGCCGAGCAAGTCGGCCTCGTCCATAAAGTGAGTGGTGAGCAGAATGGTGCGACCTCGCTTTTCTCCCTGCAGTAGGTCCCAGGTGGCACGTCGTGCTGATGGATCCATGCCCGATGTGGGCTCATCTAACATGACAACCTGGAGATGAGAAGAAAAAGGAGATGAAAATAAAGTGTAGGTAAGAAAAAAACCAAGGATGACACTGAGTAATGCTTTCAACGTTTCCAACCTTGGAGTCACCGATGAGGGCAATGCCAATAGAAAGCTTTCTCTTCATGCCTCCAGAGAGGGTCTTGGACCGAGCCTGTCGCTTGTCTTCAAGGTTCAGGATGCGGATGATCCGATCCACCTCGTCAGGGATATTCTCTTTGGGGTAGCCCTTTAACTAAAAAGAAAAACACATGGAGTACAAAAATTTAACACTCTCATTTATTCCATCAGCATCAATGCTTCAATTAAGTGATTGAAAAAAGGGTAAAGCTCTTTTTTGACACTACCCAAAACAGTGCTAACCTGAAAAGAGACAAAATGATGCCAGCTATAAATAAATATTTGAATACACGTTTTTATGCTGTTTTTAATGCTTTTGCATAAATTATTCATATTTTAAATGTAGAAATGTGAAAATAACTATCATAATTACTATTTAAACTTAATAAAACAAAAATTCAATTCAATTCAATTTATATAGCGCCAAATCACAACAAAGTTGTCTCAGGGCACTTTACAGGGACATTCACATAAAAGCCAATTAGTAAATTTCTCTATCTAAGGAATTCAGCACACAAGTTGAATCTTGGCTTTGTTACAGTCTCCCATCCTGAACAAGCACAGTGGCAACAGTGGAAAGGAAAAACTCCCTTTTAAAAGGAAGAAACCTCCAGCAGAACCAGGCTCAGGACAAGCAGCCGTCTGCTTTGACCGGCTGGTTTGAGAGGACAGGAAGGAGAGACAGATGAACACAGAATGGTAGGAAAAAAAGCAATTGGGAAAACTTGATTGTTGGAAGATTTTTCATTCCGTTGATTCTAAATGATGCTCAAACCTGAATGTTTAACTTTTTCCTTTTTTTTTTTTTTTTTTTTTTAAAAAAAACATAAATCTACACAATTATTACACAATAATACTATAGAAACTTAGGGAATGTTTTTGAAAGTTCAATCCTAACCTTCTAAAATCCACCTGGTTAACAACATCCATAAAGTATGTTGGTGGCTTGATATGTTTAGGATCAACTTTTTTCCAGAAGCAGCAACCACATCCTTTTAAATTATTTTCATTGAGATGTATAATCTATCAAGTCCTGTATTACAAGTCCTGTATTACAACTAGGAAATAAATACCTACAAGAAAGTGGAAGCAGGTCTGGCAGGAAATTTTCAGCCCATAAAGCCTTTCTGTGCTTCTGTCTTTTGTTAACTAAGCAGCTGACATGCAAAATGCATGATGCAAATACAAGAACGAACTCTCGGGGATTGTCAGGATGTGCACCAAACTGCTGGCATAGCCCTACAGAACCTCACTGACCTACACAAGGTGAGGTCAGTGAACAAGACCAGGCTGATTCTGGCAGATCCTGATCATCCACTCCATGGTGAGTTCAGGTTGCTTCCATCTGGACGCAGGTATCTGCCAAATGCCAGATGTAGGCCAAACTGACTGAAAAGCTCATTTATCTCTGTAGCGATGAGGCTTCTCTCAACAAACAATGATTCATGCAATGTTATTTTAATGTCTCAGTGTCTTGTCTAATTTGGATGTTTTGTGCGCCTACTGATTGTGAAACAAATTGCCCCTTGGGGTTAATAAAGATTCTTATACTTATCTCGAAATTAAGTCGGTGGGTTTCAGAACTGGAATATTGTGTCAATGGAAGATGATGGGTCCCTGGGAGTCTTTTCTGTCTTTTGCATGTAATACGTGCCCAATATCCCCATATTTTAAAATCAGTTAATAACAAATTATTATGAGGTGGTTATATAAAAATATGCAAGCATTCAAGCTTGTGCATTTTGGTGTAGAAAATGTAAACTAAAAAAATTCAGTACATAATCTTTTCAGTGCAAAGTGTGCGTTTGTTTTCATATGGCTGTGGAACAGTACTACTGGTAATACCTGTGCATAGAACAGCAAGTGTTCTCTCACAGTAAGGTTATCAAAGAGTACGTCATGTTGTGGACAGAGACCCAGGCTGCGTCGAATCAGAGCCATGTCCTGACAGATGTCGTAACCGTTGATATAGGCTCTGCCTCTTGTGGGGGGAAACAGACCTGGAACGTTAAAACGAGTGGGTTAATATTGTGAACATGAAATCTTTCCTGACTGCTTGCATTTATGTTTGAACTGGTAACCTGTAAGCATGGACAGCGTTGTGGTCTTTCCAGCACCATTGTGTCCCAGCACCACGGTGATTTGTCCCTCGAACATGTTCAGTGTCAGTTCTTTTACAGCTTGTCGTGTCTTGTTGCCTACTTTAAACTCCTGGCAAAAACAAAAACCCAAAGCTTGGCTAGTTAGAACCCAGACCATGCCTGTACTTAACAGGGCATGCTAAATAAAACACATTGAGCTACTCACCTTTGTGAGGTGTTTAATCTTTATTCCAGAAACTACTCCAGAAGGCTCCTCTTCTACGAACTCTCCTTTCAGAGCCTTTTCAGCGTCCTCTTCTTCCTCCTTTTCATTTACCAAAGCCATGCGAGGGGTGCTGCACCAATATGAAGGCTGCAGATTTGGGAATTAAAAAATAAGATGTAATAAATCTCAAATTACACAAACACAGAGTCAAAACGTCACCATTTATTGTGAATGCACAGCATAGTAACTTATCATTGAACCTACTTGATACTGGGGTCAAACAAGGGAAGCAGAGGAGCACTGCAGACTATTATTGTTATAAATGTACACGAGAAGGAATTATTTCCTGACCAACACCCCCACCCCTTTTGCTGCACTTCCTAAGAACCGAAGTCAAGTCTACATTTTTGGTGCTACAGAAGCAACATCAACACACACAATGGCTACAGACTGAAGTGCGTCATCATCTAAACCCCACCCTGCTGGCAGTCTCTTCAAATCCAGACCAGTGGGAAATAGATTAGCATAAGTTTATTTTGTGTGTAAGAATGTGTGTGTATGTGTAAAAGGAACACCATTTCGTGATCGTACAAAGTAAAGATAAACCATGTTTGAGTTGGCTGGAGAGAGCCAGACGTTTCCTGTTATTCTAACTGGCTGAACCTGAAGACTTCCTCTGGCCGACATGTTGGACCTCCTGTTTGAAAGCCTCCTCCACACCTTCTGTATCACAGCCCCTTTCATTCAGACCAAATGTGTTTTGGGGCTCTTATAAACCAAACTGACATCAAGAGGTGCAGCTATTGTAGGTCTATGTTTTGTATTCACACAATGCCAGTAGAGGAAAACAAAACAGCCCACCACAAACTGGACTCCAGTGAACGCATACGTGATTAACAATGAAATAGGAGTAAATGTGCTTTTCAGTAACTTATCAAACATCACTCTTCTTTTGATGGTCGTGTTTTAGTGCGTTTACACACAAACTTCTTTCAGTTCAAACCAATACCTCTTGTGGACGTTTTAACTAAACATGTAAGCTTCATACATTATATGTAACCACAGTTAATGGCACTTTAACTTGCTAGACTTACCATGCCACTTTATTTATAAAGCACTTAAAAACAGCAACAAGGCCAACCATAGTGCTGTACAGCAACAACAAACAAAGGACATAGCAAAAAATACATAGATCACACAGGTAACGATAAGAACTAAATGGCTGACATGATACAGTTAAAATCAACTCACACAGTGTCAAAAGCCAGGGAATAAAAGTGAGTTTTCAAACGAGACTTAAAAACAGTAAGCGAAGGAGCCTGCCTGACATGCAGTGGTAACTCATTCCAGAGTTTTAGACCTGCAACAGCGAAAGCCGCGTCACCTCTGAGCTTAAAACAAGTGCCTGGAACCAATAAAAGCATTGGGTCTGCTGACCTCAGAGAGCACTGTGGGGCATATGGCTGCAGCAGATCAGCGAGATAGAAGGAGACTTCATTGGCTTTACTAAACAGCCAATCAAAGTTCCTCTCACTGATGAACTCAACACATTGAACCAACAGTGTTCAAAAAGCCTCAATGAGGTCTGTGAGACGGATGTTTCCTTCAGTCATTCCTATTGGCCGATTGTCAGGTTGGCTTTCAAGACTCTTTTAAGGCAGTTTAGACTTTGATGACATGTTGGCAGAAAAAAAAACTATAATGTATGACAGAGATTACTAGAACCAATAGGGAATATTCAGCTTGCATGCAACTTCCTCTTTTCATCTTTTGTGTTTGAGTCATAAACTAACACTAAAATGGACAAACTAAAGACATCACAAAAACTTAAGTAACTAATGTATCTCTATTTTGGTGTTTATATTCCCAGTGTTATATTCCCTATTTCAAAGCATACCAGCAAAAAGAAGTAAGCTGGTAGAGGCACTCCGTACTCTCCAGGAAAAACAGCCTCCATGTACCAGGCCACGAGCCCATAAAGCACGGAGTCAAACAGCAGCAAGCACAGAACCTGGCCCATGGAAAAATCATCATCCACCGTCACAGAGTCAAACAGGTGTGACCACTGGATTCCTGTACCTGAAGAAGATATTGATGGACACAAAATACATTTAAAACACAAGTAAATAAGATGCAAATAATGAAATGATGGACCATAGTTTGACCAAACTTCAGTCTCACCTTTGGCTTCGAACATTCCTATAAGCTGTGCTCCCATGGCCATGGCAACATTTGAGATAAGGCAGGCTGACACCTTTTGGGCATGGCTCAGTAAGTCATAGCGAGGCCACAAGAACAAGTAAGGCAGGTAGCTGAAGAAGTAGATGAAGCCCCCCGCTGCTGCTGCCACATTGGCTAACATTAGAAAAGACAAAAAATGAGAGGAATTTATTAAAGAAAATACTACATTTTATTGTAAGTTGTCAAAGGTGTTAAGCTACAACACAACACAGATACTTGTAGACTTAAACATTTCTGTGAGGGTTTCTGAGCCCATTTTTCTGACTGTTTTAAGAAACATAATGAATATTTAAGAAAGTTAAGCAATGTGAAGATGGTAAGAATTACACAAGAACTCTTTAAAGATGCCTTGTTACAGAGTTGATGTGACATTTTGAGCCTGCTTGGAAAATGTGTTGATCAAGTCTCATTAACGGTTTGTAAAAAGCACATCAGTGGGTGGGCGACAGGGTTCAAGCAGCAACAAACACAGATAGTAAAATATAACCTGTGTGGTTTAAAAAGGGCAAAAAGAGGTCACAGGAGGAGGAGCCTTTTTGTTTGTTTCTCATCTTTCCCATTTCCTTTTCCAAACTGTCATTTATTAAGAAATTTGATGTGTAAAATACAATATAACTGTGCAAATGTTCAGTCAGCACTCATACTATACAGCGGTGGGGCCGAGATGGTGTAAAGGTAGGGCAACTGACTTGGGACCAGAAAGTCACAGGTTCAACTCCAAGCCATGTACACATGTCATGGTGTCCTTGAGCAAGACAACTAATCCCTAACTGCTCCTTGGGCGCTTACACAGCTGCCCACTGCTCCACCTGCATGTATCTCACACGTGATGGGTTAAATGCAAAGCATAAATTTCATCATTGTGTGGGAACATACAATGATGACAACACATAGCACTTTCTTCTTCTTCTTCTACAGTACTATACAGTGGTGCTTGAAAGTTTGTGAACTCTTTAGAATTTTCTATATTTCTGCATAAATATGACCTACAATATTATCAGATTTTCACACAAGTCCTAAAAGTAGATCAAGAGAACCCAGTTAAACAAACGAGACAAAAATATTATACTTGGTCATTTATTTATTGAAGACAATGATCCAATATTACAGTTGGAGGAATTTTGCCCTGCCTGACACAGACCACTGAGCTACCACAGCCCTCTGTGTGGAGCGGAGAGCTGCCATTTAGGGAGCAGATGGTGGGGGTTAAAGGCCTTGCTCAAGGGCCCAGAGTGGGGCAAATGAGGGTGGAGACAGGTGTGGGTGCTTCACCTTTCTCACACATTTTTTATGTCTTTTCGAACTGGAAGTCACAGGCTCACCTTCTCTAACCTCTGAGCCACTACTCCCCTAAAAATCTGCTTTAGCATATTGGTTTTATTTTGTTTTTCTTATGCTACTTTCAGCCTTTAGCTTCCATTAAGCTACTTTCAGCTAGCCTTAAGCTACTTCTAGCAGGCCTTAAGCTATTTTAGCTTGTATTTTTTTCTTTTTTCATTTGCACTACATTTTCACAGAAAATACAAATTCTTTAGTTTTATCTTCTCATTTCTGAATTTTTTTGTGCACGGTGTCCCAAAGAACCCAAAATTATGACGGTTCATTTTAGCATTTGACATCACAAAAAATACAAAATAAATTATAAAAATGATCTGAGACTTTTTCGGACTTTTGTCCAAAAACTGTCTTTGGATAAAAGACAGTCTTTTGTCTTTGTTGACAAAACAATTGAGGTTAAATGCTTATCATTAAAATAAAATTACTGTAGGTTTTAGGAATATTAAGTAAATGCAGAGCAAGACAGCTGCTTCGCAAAAAGCCACATCAATGAGCCTATTTTCCATCTGAGCTGCTTTGTTAGAGAGAAGTGAAAGGGGAGAAGGATTTTGGTTTGAAAGAGGAGCTTTGACTGAGTGAAACAACAAAAAGGGAGGGGGAAAAAGAGGAATAAATAGTTTTCTTCATTTCTGAGGTTGTCTAGGTCGAAGAAAGAGTTTAGATTTTAAATATCTGAAGAGGCGTCCTGAGTTACAAGTGACCTGCTTGTTTAACAGTGAGCAACACTTTTCTTTTTATTAGGAAATGTTTTGACAAAAGCATCAAAAATATTTTTATTTAGATACTTGTGTTTAATTGGAACTTTTTTAATCTACGAGACTGGTTCACATTTAGGCAAAAATGAAAGTCATGCAAAACCCATTTGCCAGAACAAACAGAACAAAGAAACGGACTGAGAAAACTTGTTGCTAATGAAAGAAGCAGCCGGGCAGAACCACCCACCTCGGGAGAAGAAGGCACTGATCATGAAGCTGAAGCTGATGGTGGCCACAGTGAAGACGAGCAGGAAGACGAAGACCAACGTGGGATCACTGTGGGTCAGCACCGCACCGTTAGGGCTCACCTACAACAACAGAGGAAGTTTAGTCAAACTGTTACATTCTGATTTAATACACTCAGACAGTGGCTGAAAAAATATTCAGAGCCTTTTGTATAAAAAAGTACAAGAACAAGCCTCACAAGAAAAAAAGTCTAGTTAAGTACAAGTACCAGCTGCTTGTATCATCTTTTATCGCCCATGTTTCACTTTATTTGGAATGTTCTTGAGCTACTATTTTTGGCCAGATAAGGGACAATTATACCACAAATGTGACGTGTAGAAAAGTTCTTCTACACTCTCAGGCTTCATGAGCAAAATGGAGTTTTCTGCAAAAGACTTAACACCTTCCCATGGTGATGTTCTGCAGTGTACGGAGATGGGGATGCATCTTTTGAGTGCTTTCAAACGCAACTACAGTGAAATAAATTGGCAGATAAAAGATGTTATTCCCCTTATTGTATTCAAATTTTTGTTGAGTTGTTCTGACAGCTGCCTATCTTGTTTGGTTTGAACTTCCTCCAGCTCACATACTGTAAATGCTGCAGCAGCTCTAACCTGCTCTCACATTAGCAGCAGGACCTCAGGAAATACACCAACTTTTAACTACAACACTGAATTTAACACCTGTAGATACAACAAATAAATCTGTGCCAGTCAAGTGAATAAACTGTTGTGTTTCCAAGAAACTGTCAATCTGAAGAAGAAAAAAAAAAAAAAATCCAAAGCTTTACAAGAAAAATTAAATAAATTAAATAAAAATACAAGTAAAGAACCAGTATTTCTTGAAGGAATGAAAATCACCCCACATTTTTCATGCCACAGATTTGGACTGTGATCATCTCATTTTGACAAATGATGAAGTTGTGGCCAATTTGATCCAACTTTGACAATTATGCTGTGTTTCCCTTAACATTATACAAGCAGGGCGCCCCGCCCTGTCAACAGAACCGAGTGCGTAGCCCTAAGCTAGTGACGCACAATATACAAACATGCTAGCTAAAAACGTAGAAGGGTAGCGTTCCGTCCCCCCCCCTTGAAAACTATTGAGACAAACAGCGCACAACGCAGATGTGTCTCGGTCTCCACAGTAACACACACACCACCACCCCCATCGACAAAAATCACAGAAGATGTCAGAGAAGCGCTGTTATGGTATGTGCAATCTCACAGGATACCATGAAATTGTAGCACAAAATCTGTAAAACTTTTAGAACATTTAGTGATTTTAAGGTCAGTGAGTTGTTGCTTAAATAGGTTGGTTTCAAATATTAATCAGATGTAGATGGTCATCCAATTAATACGTTCTAAAAGCTTCATTAAGATTCATCTATTGCTCAAAAAAATATTTTGCTAACAGACACAAACGCGCGCACACACGTACGTTCTTGTAAACGTAGTTTTTGGGGACTTTGAATTAACTTCCATTCGTTTCCTATAGCCTAACCCTGACCCTTACCCTAAGCCTAACCATTACTAGCACATGCCTAATCCTAACACTGACCCATACGCAATTCACACCTTAGTCATAAACCTAACCCCTAACCCCCCAGCGAGACTTCTCCTTATGGGGACCTGGCTTTGGTTCCACATAAAGAGCAGTTGGTTCCCACAATGCATGATTTTTTTGTAAAACTGGTCTCTACAAGGAAACCTGAAACAAAAACACACACACATTCACACGGGTAAATTCATTACAGTATTGCCCGTGTTTTGCCTTTCGATGGCACTTAATTTTTTTCTATAATCTATACAAATAAAAAATGTAATATTTGATCTAAGCAAACATACATACCAGTAATTGTTTATCCACTCAATGAGACAAATATACACACATATAACTACCAGTATGCATAAAGGACTCAGGATACCTTAATAGTTAAATAGGGGAAAACACAATCGCAAGATGGTGAATTTAAAGATAATTTGTAACGCCAACTCACCTGGATACAGAGGAGCAAAGTGACAAAAACTACTGAAATGGAAAGGAAGAGGAAGAACATCAGGAACCAAGCGCTCCAGTGGAGCCAGTTACTGAGGCCCATCATCCTCATGTACTCCTGAAACACACACAAAAAGGCAGAAATTTCAAGTTTAACAGCCGCAAGTCTCATTTCAGCTCCACTCAGAAACAGGGGCTCGCAAACACACCTTGAGCTTCCGTTCTTTTTCCTGCACCACTGCTCGCACTATGTTGAGGGAGGTGTAGGTGAAGCTGAGCACCAGGAGAAGAGGCAGCTGGTTCTGAATGGCCAGGATGAAAACATCATAGATGAAAGGGGGGTAAGGAAACCGAGAAAGGACCACTTTGGTCTGACTAAACAGACGTTTAGCAGCAGTTTGGTTGTAGGCAAGCATGATGGCTTGGTCCACTGCGTACTGGACGGCTAGAAAGCCCTCTCGGAAATAACCTTAAAGAGAGAGAGAAAAAGAAAAGGGTTTTAACCCCAATAGAAATATTTTCTATCAAAATCTGGATTAATCCACAAACTTTTTTTTTGTCCTTTTTTCTAATTTCAAACATAATCGTAAAGATGGGTCCTCTTGAAGTAAACCATAGCAGTGCAGTATTTTTTTGTCAAATAAATCACGCAACTGGAGGGTCAAAAAAAATAAAAATAATAATGAAGAGTAAAGTGCAGTAGATGCTTCATGATCAGTTTTGACACCTTACGTGATGTCAGGGCAAACTGTACCCTACCAAAAAACTAGATAACACCCATGATGCCAAAGATGTACAGGTTGCCAAGGAACAGAGCCCAAGAGACAGTCGTCACTGGAGAAATAGTCAAACTGACTGTGAAAGTTAAAGAATACCATTTAAAGGTTTAAGATAAACAGTTAAGGATCTTGGAAACAGTTCTCACCTGGTGTCCCACCCTCCCTGTCGTACTGCTCCCTTGGACCCGGCAGTTGAAAAAGGGGAAAGAGGCTGAGTGTGTGCCAGTCGAAGTCATTGTTTGGGTTCAGCTCTGACTTTTCTTTGGGTGGGGCGTTGCGTGGTGTGAAGGAGAAGCGAAGGTGATATCTCACCTGTAGACCAGAGCAAAGCCAAACAAAATAAAGAAGTAGAGTGAATATTTTCTTTCTAAATTAAATTGTTTTGAATTAGTTTGCGTGAGTATCTTGGTCACTTTTGCCACTTTGCCACTGGTAAGTGTGGCTACACTCGGCTCGCATCTTCTCAGGTGTAGGTGATTTGCCGTGGGATCGTCAATGCAAAGTGGGCAGGGTTGTAACGGGTCTTTTTGTGTTCGAGCCACTCCACCCGTTGTGGTTGAATCGCCCTATAATCTGACTGGAATTTTGTTAGCTTATTCCGGCACTACTTATAAGTCCGGGTGTTGCCATGCTGTGCCATCGTCTCCGATATCTCTCGGTAAATGCGCTCATTTCTTGTGGCGCCGTCTGTCAACACGATGAGGAAGTGGAGGTTCAGATGTAGTTTTTTGCAGTTTTGCTGGACGAGTCATCCAATGACGTAGCTCCACTGACTAATCAATGTCTGCCGTTTGCTTATGTTAAAATCGTCACCTCGGAGGAGTTTGCTTGGAACCAGGTGAAAGGTGGTCCCATAAACCGGGGAGGCCCTTAACTGGTGCCGTGTCGTGCGGAGCTGACGAGAGTTGAGACAGTGGCAAAGCGCCATTTGAAATGAACTGTAGCTATGTTTGTATAATTTTTATCCAGACTCAAGTCATTCTATTTGATTTCTCACAAACCCCCTATGAATACAAAGCATTCGTAATGCAAAACCCCGACAATGTTGTTGTAAGAAAAGGGGGTGCAGTTCACGTCAGCCTAACATACCGGACAAATCGCGATTGCCAATCGGTTAGTTGCTGACGAGCCTACTGGATTGATTGACAGATGGTGTTGTGTCAGTTGTTTCAGACTTGAAGGAGCTGATCCCTAGTGGTACAAGGACCTTAAAAAGTGTCTGTGGCAGTTTGTCCCTGGATGGGCAACAATGTTTTGGCTCATGTCTCTGTTGTATGTGTTCAGGTTTTTCTGGCTATGCAGGAAGATAAGCTAATTGTAATAATCATAAAAGCCACCTCTACCAAATATCCCACTGTATTCAGACTGACGATTCTAAACAAGTAAACTCACAGGATTTGAATAATCAGAAGTGACCAAACGGGTATTGCTGCTTTATCCCTTCACTTGAGATGAGGATAAGAATTTGGGCCCTAGTACCGATATTAAGATACACAAATTACATACATTCCATACGGTGTGACGGCGTGAATGCTGCCTTTTACCTTCAGGGGAAGGGGTTCATCATGGTGAGTGAAAGGGTGCTCAAACACCACAGCAGCCAGCATGTTGTTGGACGTGGTGTCATTTTTCACGTAGTTTTCCAACTGTTCCTCCGTCTCAAAGCCCTGCACTGAAAGAGACAAAAACAAAATCACATTAAAAGCTGTGTGGCATTCATCTCATGTCCAGCTGTGTCTATTTCTGTCTCATGACATGACCCTGATTCAACGTTTTCGCTGACAGGCAGAAAATTGGTTAAAATGTGGTCTGCGTACCGAATACTGTGACCAGTTCTTTCAATACAATGACTCTATTCTCACAGAACACGTAAAACCTGACACCGCATTACTTAAAAAACCTGTGAGGCTGAAAAACCAAAGACATCGTGCCTTGAGACAACTTAAATATGGTTTCAATCTAACTCTTATTAAATCCATATTTTTCCTGGGTTTCTCAACAGTTCTTTTTATTTCTCCATAAAGCAAACACAAAGATATTCAGAATCTTGCAAACAATATTACCGTGCTGCTAGGGTCAAATCCAGGTTAGGCTCATAGAATAGACACTTGAATAACGATAGTTTGAGGGCACGGAGGGGGAAACAAAAAAGGTATTAAATTCAAAGACTCACAGTTTTACTCAACAAGCAGCTTTAGGTCAACTCCAACCAGGGGTTTTTGTTATCAAAGATTTATTTTATATTGTCATGAGCTAACAATGGTGTGGAATAGATCTTATAATGTATAAAAAAATAATGAGAATCTCAGATTTCTAATGCTTGTGCTTACATTTTAAGTTAAGAGTAGGGGTCTGCGATCTGCGGCTCTGGAGCCACATGCGGCTCTTTGGTCCCTCTGCAGCGGCTCTTTCAAGCTTTGACCAAAACCGACATAAAACTGAATTTTATTGGTTGTTATAACAACTAAAAGGGCCAGTTTTAGCAGTTTTCCTGCTATTTATTTTGCAAATATATGAATACTAGAAACATTACAAGGAGTAAAACATACTCACTTTCACTTTATTTCTTTAAAGTAAGATAAGTAATTATTCTACAATTTAAAAAAAAAAAAATCACATAAGAATGCATAATTCATTGTTTTAGTTTTAGAAACTGGGCAAAAACTATATATTTTTTCCTTCTTTACAAGAATCTCATCTTTTGTCTTAGAATGTAAAAATATCAAAATGTTGAGAATCATTAGGTATTTTGTTTTATAAAATCCCCTCTACGGTCCAGAAAAGCACCATCCAACAAACTTAAAGTGGTCCGTGGGCCACCAGTTGAGAAACCCAGTTGTAGCAGGTATTGCGTCTCCGGACACGTTTAATTCAGTGAACAAAGGGGCAGAAATGGCTCTATTGATCGTAAAGGTTGCAGACCCCGGTATAGCTGAAGAGGTTAGCTAAGAGCACTGAGTAAAACATTGTTTTGTAGTTCTTCAACTACTTCTATTTAAACAATCATTAAAAGACTGAAATAGATAAAATGTTGAATAAACAGATCGATTATCTCGCCTACTTTAAGAAAGCTGGAAGACATTTGATATGTTCTTTTAAATAATAGAAAATCTCTTAAAGAACATTGATCCTTTATCTTTAACCACTTTTCCTTTTTGGGTCGTGGGGGGTCACTGGTGCCCATGTCCAGCAGTCACTGTGCAAGAGGCAGGGGACACACAGGGACACAGAGACAAACAACCATTCACTCTCTCTCTCTCACACCTAGGGACAATTTAGAGTTACCCATCAGCCTAACATGCATGGTTTTGGTCTGTGGGAGGAAACTGGAGTGCACGGAGAAAACCCACGCATGCACAGAGAGAACATGCAAACTGCACCCAGAAAGGCCCACAGTTGGGATTTGATCCAACGAGCCACTGTGCCGTCCCTCTTAAAAAACATCTACAAATTCACAAATATATGAATGATGCATATTCAGCTAAGACGACCCTCTGAACACATTCATTCTTATCTGATTAATGTTGATGCCTGACCTAAATGTTCCACAGTGATGACACGTGCACAAACTGGACTACTGGGTGACAAAAATGTTCAAATAAAGCCAACAATGTCCATTTTCTGTACCAATCTACGTGAACATGCTTTTTATATTAAGAACAAGTAAATATTTTTAAACTACTTTAACAGCTGTTGTTGGCGTGTTCACGTCAAAGACAACACTTTTTTTTCATCTTAAGGATGCAAATATTTCCTAGAGAATGTTTACAAAAGGTTAGCTAAAGATGCACATTTAGCAATACGCACCAGAGACTTCTGTAACTGGTTACAATAAAAAGCCTCCATCAGACACAGACAGATGTCTCATCCATGAAGAGATTTTTTACTCAGAGTGGCCAAAAATATTTTTAATGAAAGATAAGTGCAGGACCAGCATTTTATTTTTTAAATTTTTTTGACCTTTAAGTGTGAAGGAGAAACGAAACCACAAAATTTAGCTGGAACAAATAATTTCATATTATTCCTCAAACAGACAAAATCCCACAAATCTTCTCTGATTTTCAATCCATCCATCATCTTTACCCGTTTCTTCTTTTTTTTTTTTAATGCAATTTGTTTTGTCTGATAGCAGAATAACACAAAAACCATTAAAGAAACCATTGAAATCAAAAGTAGATGCACACATACAGCAAATAAATAAATAAAATCGCAGTTTAAAACGTGAACCTAAGCACTTTATAGCCACTTCCAAGAATCCGTTCCTTCAAGCATAATGACTGAACTTAATAACACCACAATAAGACAGATGTCTGTAATCTTGTGCACATGAAAATACTATCAATCCAAACATTAAAACATCCTTCAGACTTTCCCTCTGAACATTTAGATGTTAAATTATTCATTAGGATCTCAGGTTAGGTCGAAGACAGATATCTGGAGAATTTACACACTAAAAGCTACATTTTCCATCTTTGCCTTGAGCATGTTTGTATATTTCAGTCAGTCTAAATGAAGCCAAAAATGTTACAAGGCTTCTTTTGCACAACTGCATTCTCTCCATTGTTTCCCCCCCGTCAGTGCTGAGCTGATAGAGGATCAGGGTGTGGCCTGTTCTACTTTTCTGAGGACCGTTTCTTGAGGAACCAGTGTTCCTAGATCTACTCTGAAACAACAAATGTTGACAAAGCTGTGGTATTTGTTTAACTGATTACAGGGCTGGTACCAGCAACCTGGATTGGGGATGTGAACCTAGTACCCATTTCTTTTCTGTTGATCACATACCTGAGGAGAGGAACAGGCTGTTTCGCACGTGCTTTGCCACTTGCCGCACCACGGTGGAGTTGCCAGGCACGTAGCCCAGCTGAAATTTTTGAGGACCCGGTATTGGCAAACTCTCAACATTAAAGCTTCTGTAGATTGTAGCGTTTGGGTAGTTCTTAAAGTCCACCTTCTGACGAAGCGCGATCAGGATGCCCGAGAAAAGAAGGGGCAGAAGGATCTCCACCAGAGTTACCACAATTTGACGTTTCTGTAGAAACACAGATACGTGTATTTGTTTAATGGATTGCAAGTTAAACCAATATTAAAAAGGAATGTCCATAAAGATAAAAAGCAAAATGTGTAGTGTGACAGAATACAGTTTGACAAGGTTTAAAAATGGATCAAGCTGTTCCAGTTTTAATCAAGATTAAATAAAATCTGAAGGTAGGGATAAACACCCACTTCTAGCCCCAACCCCCATTCTTTTGTTTTCTTACCCCATTCTGTGTAATATAAGTTAAAAAGGTTTTTATTATGGTTTTGGTTCATTTAACCTTTATTTTACCAGGTAAGACTCACAGAGGTCACAAGATCTCTTTTTTTAAAGGGAGCACTGGGGGGAGATAAGTTTGACTCTTGAATAAATATTTTGTCATACAAATAATTTTATTTTAGCTCATTATCTACGAAACACAGAATTACAGCCATTTCTGTATTTTTTTTTATGTCAGTTAAGTCTTTGCAGGTATCTTGACTCCAAACGTTAAGTCAGAATGTCAGTACAGAAAGTTAGAATTTTTATTTTATTTTAAATGAACAAGACTGTAAATTCCTCAATTTTCCAAACATGAAGGGCATACAAGGCTTAAGGCCTTTGCTGTCAGATGTTTTAGCTCCTAAAGACATAAACGTTCAAATTTCCTTGTGAAGGAAAAATGTCAAGGGAGCAACAACCTCCTATGTTTTACAGCCAACAGTCCATTTTATTGCTCAACAGCTGGAACGTTGTGTAATCATTCATTGATATTAATGTTCAGTTTAGTGCAAGCAGCTATTCAGAACGAAAGACAAACAGAACCATGCCAAAAGTTGATGAAAGTAGAAGTCAAGAATTGTTTGGTCAAACAATGATATTCTGCACACTGCCAGGCCTTGAATCCAATGTTATGGTGTCCTGGAGGCACATCAGAAACATCTGACTGCATTTGTTTCACCATCCACTCAGGATTGGAGTCATAACAATTTAGAAAAATTCACAAGAAACAAGTAAAGGTGTATGTAGTGGCTCTTCATGAAGGCAGCTATTACACAAGACAGAATGTGACAACCAGTATATTAAGCTGGTGACATAACTCCAAAATATATTGTATTTATTACTTCCAAGATGACTGGACAATATCAAAAGCTGTTGAAGCAAAAATGTTAGTCAGTTTGCTGTATTTATGATGTTCCGAATGCCTATTACTTAAATTATGTTATACAAGCTGCTTCTCTTTAAGCATAGCTGTGTTCTGACAATATACAGTCTCGGACCACATCAGCACCTAATATAGAGAAAACACACAAGATTTACGAGCATCTTCCACCAACTCACCTGCTGAAGAGAATTCTTCCACACCAGCAGTCCAAACTGTCTGATGATTGCCATTTTCAATGGTAAACAAGGAACAGACAAGGCAGCTTTTTATAGTGGCTGGAAAAAGAAAGAACAGATGTTTACATTTGATTTTGGGTTAGTTCTAAGAGGAAAACAGCTGCAAGAGATTTCTCAATTACTGTTTGACAATAAATAAAAAAAAGAAATAAAAAAAAGAAGTGAAACTGCACAATCATGAGTTATTAAAATCAGCAGTTGCTTCAGTCAGTTTTGTAATTACACACAAATTAAACGAGGAAACACACATAAAATTAAAAAAAGCTAATTAAGCCAAAAAACAACAAAAACACGAAGCAATCATGAATTTTACCTGTAATGTTGACAGAGAAATATGACCGCAGAAAGTTGTTTCTAATCCAATCTAAGACTATTTTACAGTTCACTTTTTGCAGTATCTGTTAAATTTGGTTAACTAATATCAATAAAAAATAACTATTTGGCATTAGTTGTATTCCAGAAAAAAACTTACTTCGACTTAATTTGATTTTCATTTTCTCATAATAAGACGATGTGGGACTAACCTGTATAAATAAAGGTTGAATGAATTTCAGAATTTCAAAACCTCTTAACAACTCTTGGAAGTTCGGATTTTTACCCTGGTTTCATTTAATATAATAAATCTTGGGTAGTTTAGCCTCTTCAAATTTTAAATTATCTTTAAAAAAAAAAACAACTTAAAATCAACTATATTTGTGTGATTTAGTAAACGAACATAAAAGCTGGACTTCTTCCTTGTTTACAAAAACTCGTTTCTGATTGGTCCAAACCAATCCTCCGGCTTTTCTAATTGGTCAATCAAACTGCTCGTCAATCCCTAAGGAGTTCCATGAAAGCAAAGCGGAGCTACTAGACACAATAAAAATAGGAATAAAGAACAATATCGTGTACCAATTCATTTACGCGTTTTTTTTTTAATTCATTTAAAACAACACCAAGAATCATGTGCACCAACGGATGTGTCGCTTTAATGTGTTTAGAAAACGTGTTTAGTTACCTTAAAGCAAATGTTTCGGTTCATAACCTGAGGTCCTTTCAGTCGAGGTGAAAAACAGTTCCTCGTTTATTGTCCCAACACCGGAATGATAAACATCACTGCCAGGCCTTTTCTTTGACCGACGACATCGATGCTCGGTGGCATTTAGCGAAGCTAAGCGTGTAGGCACCGCAAATCCAGCCTCGGCAGCTCGCTGCCTGCTAGCGCTGCGATGACATTGCACCAACCGCTGGTCTGAAAACCTAGTGTCCAGCCAGCGATAAGCGTCAACAAACGTCACGTGACCTCCCCTAGGAAATTGTCACGTGATCAAGGGAGCTATTTTTTTTTTTTTTTTATCAAAGCAGCTAGGCGAAGCATATATTCTACATTAAATTACAGGTCCAGATACAGCTTCACTTTAAAACTAGCAGCTGTATATTTACTAAAATCTTAAAGCACCAGAGCAAAACATTACTATACTTAGTTGCATAATTATTGCTAATCTGTACCAAAGAATTATGTGATGTGTGATGGCAAAGCAATAAAACAAGACTTAAATTGCAAAGCTTGATAACTTTTTTTTTATTTGAACTCAGTACAAAAAATACATATTCACATTACAGAAAACACTGAACTGTAAAAAAACTTTATATTGAAAAAAAGGAAACTGCCTTTTTTTTGGAATGAAGCAAATACAATTTCAAGTAGTAGTGGCGTGTTTTTTTTGTCTGAGCACCATGTACATTTAAAGGAAAAAAACAGTCAGGAAGAGTAACAGTTTAAAATGTATTTACAGTCAGTCACAGTTGTTTTGATATTATGTCCTCTGTATCCTGAATGAGGCATACAGTACTTTGAAAAGCCCGTTAGGTAATTTTCCTCTAGTGTGTTACCTTTGATTTGTGTTCAAGAAAAAAAAAGCACAAATTCGATTTAAAAAAAATCCCTAAATACTGAATGTTCAAAGTAAAATTAGGAAGCATGGTACATTTCATTACATTGCACACCTGCGATATTAAAAAAGTGCTAGACTTAATTAAGTTTGGAGGAAAATTATAACGCTTGAGCTTCAAGTTACATTTGCACACTGATGACAGAGTGTGCACCTCTACACAGGTTTCAAGTTTTAGTTGATTAGTGAATTAGCATCAGTGCAGAGCTCTTTATGGGATTAGTGTGCCACAGGTAAAAGTAAAATAAAAACTGTTGCACAAGCCATTTCAGACTACAAAGTGACATATTTCACAGCTGTTTTTTTTCCCTTTTGATGACACTGAAAAGATAAATGACACCGTGGTACCTTTGGCAAAAATGCAGGACAAAGAGCGAAGCAGAACAACAAGTCTGATAATCATCTTTTTAGGCTTCATTTGTAAACAATGTTCTCAACTAGACACCCAGTAGTCAACTTTTTTTGTTGTTGTTGATAAATTTCACCAAATACAATATTTCTTGTACAAACTGTGCATATCAGAGACTACAATAAGCAAACTGTCTCAAAAACTATGAAATTTGTTTGTTTTCCATTTGGAAAGAAACAAAATCGATGAGGTTTTCTTTCTTTACCAACAATCAAATGAGATCTGAGATACCGTACATTGTTGTAAAGGCTGAAATGCATCAGGTTCCAGAGAAAAGTCAAGTCATATTCCAGTGGTTTTAGATCTGACTGCAAGTTTAACTTCAGGGGAGGTATTTCTATCGGTCCCTGCATGTAAACATGTAAATTAAATGTAACGTGATAGAAAGACAAGTTTCTAAGTTATCTCTATTCATGTCTGTTTTTTTCCTTGCTAGTCTTTAAACTCAGAGTCGTTTGATCAACAAGTTCAGAATCACAGGTGAAAGGAACATGGACAACAGACAAAAAGTGCTGCAGGTTTTAAACTGAGCGCTTGGTTTTAAAAAGTTTGTGATCATTGGAAAAATCCGTTCCTACAGGCTCAGAAACCCTGCACTGGCAGAGATCTCTTCTTCCAAATCCTCTTCTTCTCTTTCCACCTCACCTCCACTGTGTGCTGCTATGTTCTTCCTTTTCACTTGTTTGGTGGAGATGCCCCTGGGCCTCTGCATGGGCACCAAGAGGCGGAAACCTGGCTGAGCGTTAGCAGAGACCGCACGCAGGGAGGTGGTAAAAGTCTTGAATGTGCAAGGCGTGAAGTTGGACGATGAGCATGTAGACGAGGGGCTAACGCTCTGGACGGACGAGTATCCTGAACTACAAAGGTCTGCAGATGAGGAGAGGGGTTGTTGGAGATCTTTGTTCACCTCGTCTTGTGCTTCACAGAAGCTGTTGTCTTCGTCGCTGGACAGAGCTCTGCAGTGTTCTCCTCCAATGTCTGCATCAGTCAGCGGGTGCAGTTTGATGGATACCACTGAAGCTATTAATAAAAAAGTTAAAAGAAATTAAACACACACACACACAAAATAAATAAATAAATAAAATTTGTTATTGCTCCACATTTACTCTCATTATACCAGTCTATAAAGACAGACAATATAAGTACTGCGTCATTTGTAGTCACATTATGTCCCACTGAAAGAGGAGCTCATGCATTATTCTCCTACTTTCCATCTAGATTAGGTCATTTATATGCATTACCTATAAGACTTCTAATAATCTCACGGGAATAAATGTCCCCAGCCCATTCCTATTCATCTTCTTATGCTTACAATCATTATCTTTCTCCCCCTCGCTCTCTTCCTCGTGGTCCCCCTCATAACCGGAGCTGGAGGAGTCCAGACTCCAGTCCAGGATGTCTCCCAGCAGCATCTCCTCCTGATTGGACAGCTCTGCTGTGGGTGTGGTCACCAAGCTGTCCCTGTGGGCCTGCGGGCTGTCGTCACGCCTCCTTGGGAGAAAGAGAGGTGGACAGGCAGAGGGTTATAGTGAGTCACAGGAGGTTCTCACAGATGGTACCCAGAAAAACACCTTCTGGACAAAACTGTTCACAAGTCTGTTAGTCACGGCACACGGGAGATGAGAATTGCTAAATGAGCAAGAAAAGCGTCAGGGTCAATGGTCACTTGACTGTTTAATTGTATAAAATTATTTTTATGTCCTGTTGAATAAGCAGCATTGTCCATTGCGGGGGGAAGGGGGGGGGGGGGGGGGGATATAAATCAAATCAAAGGGAGTTAAATCTGTGCTATTTTGGGTTTAGGATTCTTTCTCTGGCCCTATTATGTATTGTAGCTTGAACAGTTCCTGTCTCTGGTCTTCTGATGCAGTCAATTGAGTTATCTGAAGTCATCTGACTGTTCATGCATGCAACAATCAGAAAAGAACATCTCCACTGCCACAGCACATTTCGAACAACTTTTTAACAAATTATGTCACCCACGTTGCAGCAACACAAAAACAAACCAAATATAACATCACTAGAAAGGCACCACTTTTACACACACACACACATAACCATCCATTATCTTTACCCGCTTCTTCTTTTTTGGGTCACTGGTGCCCATGTCCAGCCATCACTGTGCGAGGTGGGGGACACCCTGGACAGGTCTCTAATCCATCACAGGGACACATAGAGATAAACGAGACAAACAACCATTCACTCTCTCACCTAGGGACAATTTAGAGTTACTAATCAGCCTAACATGCATGTTTTTGGTCTGTGGGAGGAAACCGGAGTACCCGGAGAAAACCCACGCATGCACAGAGAGAACGTGCAAACTCCACCCAGAAAGACCCCCAGATCGGGATTTGAACCAGGACAATCTGCTCGCTGAGAGGCAGCAGCTCTACCAACTGCGCCACCGTGCTGCATACACATATACCAAATAAAAAAAATACCATGTCTTGTTTTGTTTTTATTGCCCTCAAAGTAAAATAAAATGTCACTTTGTGCCAATAGAAAGCAGACTGTTATGGTTCATGCAGTAGAAAATGTCTTGACACGTTTTAAAAGAAAATAAAGGTGATCTGTGTGTTGGTAGCTGGCTCACCTCTTGTTGGTGCTTGATGGGGAGGCCAGGAAGGTGTGGATGTCTGCTGGTTGACCACCACTGGGACTGGGAGGCTCCATCTGAGGTTCGACTTCAGGAATTTCTAAGATCTGACAGAGCTCTTTAAATTCCATCACCTTGAGGCGGAGAAATGAAACCAGTGGCAATTTAGATTCAGGGAAAACAACAACAGACGTAGAAAAACAAACTAGTGAACTTTAACTTATTTTTATAAATACAAAGTGCCAGTACCTTTTCCTTGCTGATTTGCTGGTACATCTCATCTTCAAAGCGTTGCTTAACACCAGTCAGAGACATGTGTCTGTAGTCTTTGGGAATATCTTGACTGAAACTGAAGACGAGGAGACAGAAAAACAAAGGAAAAAACAAAACAAATGAGTTGGATCCACTTTAGCTGCTGCAACCCTGTCATCAACTCTTAGACAAATCTTGTTATGTGTCCATTTGAGGATTAGTTTTTGATACAACCTATCAAAGTGACTCACTCTGAGGCACGTTTCTGTGACACACATCGAGGAAGGCTCCTGTCTTTATGACTGCAGATCTATGTTTTATGCTACCTTTATGATAAAAGATGCCTATTTGTTATTTGTATAAGCAAACGATTTTGAAGCATCCTGTTACTAATCAATATGGGAATGCTGACAAGTCTGACACATAACCGATCAATAGCTGTTTTCTAATTATATAAAGAAACGCGGTGCACGTTTTACAGTCATGTCTGAGTCATGGTATACCGTAGTTACAACAGTAGAACATGGACAGCAGTATTTCTGAGTTATTGTTTATGGCTTTGTTGATATAGATATTTGTGTTTCCACTGCAGAGCTGCTGTTTGACTGTGAGCAACCATTAAAGACACAAATAAATAACAACACTAATCAGGGTGGCATGATCTTATAAGTTTAGTTGATGAATTTGAACCATAGGCATTGAAACTGAACATCAGTGTTCAGCTGAAGATAAAGATGTCAATAAAATACAGCGATCAATAGTTGTGAACTCTACGAAATGTTGGAAACTATAAAACATGTTTGTTAGCTCTACAGAACAAGTGAATGAACACAAATGTGATCACTAGGCCTGTCGCAATAAACAATAAACAATAAATCAAGTAATGGCATGATAAATGAAAATTATCAACATCATTTTCATTTATCAGCTTTATTGTTTTCTTCATCTCTCTTTCTACTGAAGACACTGGATGACAAAAGGCTCAACTCCAGTGCTTTTCACTGACCCCTCCCTTTCTCTTTTCTTTTTAAAATCCATTTTAACCATCCAAAATCGTGTTTTTGAATCATTCAAAGAAGCTAAGCTATGAGCTAAGCTAACAGGCTAACCTTGGGGAAAAAAAACCTTCGTCTTGTCGAAGCTCCAAAATTCACGGTTGAAACCTGAGCCTTTGTGTAAAAAGTTGTTTTTCTCTGCAAAAAGAAGCTGAGAACTTGTTTTTGATTGTTTTAAATTAAAAGCGTTGTGTGACAAATTTTATGCAAAAGAGCTCAAACCACACCAAGCATCCGCCATTTTGAGAACGAAAAACAGGAAGTAGAGACAGCCCATGTCACATCAAGGGGCCTCCTTCCCATTTTTCTTAAAGAGAAACGATGCTCGCTCCCTCACTATTCATCCTTTGGTTCAAACAGTCTTATACTGACATCTAGTAGTCAAAAAAGGTACTACACTCAAAACAAATTAAACATTTCTTCTTAAATTTGACAATAATTACTAATTATTGTCAAATTTCAAACTACATTATCGTTTGTCGCAATAATTTCTGAGATGATTAATCATCTAGCAAAAATTGTTATCGTGACAGGCCTAGTGATCACAATATGAGTTATTGTTTTGTCTAATCTCAAAATAAATTTGAACCAAGTTCGAAGGCAATAGTTTTTTTTAAGCATTAGATCTGCATTAAGGTTTAACAAAAAGCCAATGTCCTCGCCAAATAAAACTTTCTTTGAAGATCATAAACACCAGAAACTGGCCTCATAACATTTTTTTTCATTCAACCTTTATTTATACAGGTTAATCCCGTTGAGCGTCAAGGACTCTTTTACAAGAGAGACCTGATTTCAACAAAGAATGATAACAATGGATAATCATAAAAAGCGGCATCCATATATATATTTTTTTTAAACAAATTAAAATAAGATGGCAAAAATAACTAGATCATAAGGTGAATGTAGAAAACTAAAAACAGGAACATGTCTGCATGAACATTAACATACGTGAAAAGTTGGCAAACACAAATAATCGATGTTGAAACAAAAGTATATGTGCATATTTGTGTAATTCAATAGTTTGTTTTGTTTTCTCCTATGTTTTTCATGTAAGCAATTTATGAAACTACCTTTAAAATTATATTCTCTTTACAGGGTCATCAGATTATTTGATATGGCCAGAGTGGTTAATGATTGAAAGCAAATTTTGATCCAAGGGGACTTAACTGCAAAAATTATTTCCTGTAAGTTGGAAAACAATTTTTCAAAATGCAGCTAAAGGTCTGTTAAGTTCAAATTTTATGAATAATAAAGTCCACTCAAAAAGCAACTGCTTGGCTACCAGTCCAAACATTTATAAAGATGAACTTACCACTTGACATAAAGCAGAACAGAAAGCGGAACCAGGTCCTGCTTGGAGAAGCCTGTGTAGTCACATAACAAGGTGGGCCAGACGGGACCTGCAGACATAACTCAGGATGAGTATAAACTTACACAAAAACACAAATCGTAAATTCTAAAAGGCTTTTTCTTAGTGTTATGTGTGCATCAGTGAGCACCATAGTGATGCAGCGCCCGTGTAAGGAGAAGTGCAGCGCAGGTCAGTTTGGCAGGAGGCGGCGTGGAGAGAGCGGAGTAGAGCAGCGACAGCTCACAGATGTAGCTGAACAGGTGAGTGGATCTCCTCTCCATGGGGAGCAGAGAGAGCAGCACCTCCCCATAATCTGGCAGAGTGGGGCTCTGGAGCAGGGTGCAAGGGAAAAAAGTTGATTAATCTTCTAATTAAACTAGTAGATCTTTCAATGTGATCTTGATATTGTACAGTCTTTGTAAATATGCTTACTAACCCTGATCTTTCCCTCCAGCACAGAAACAACCTCTCCCATCATTCGAACCAAGTCCTCATATTTGTATGTGTTGTCTGTGAGCCAAACGGCTTCACGAATGGTCAGGATTTCTTTACTGATGTACCTGAAAAAATAAAAATAAAAATCAGATTAGTCTGAAAATCTTAAAACTATAAGGTTCTGTCCATGATTTTAGAACATGTCATACTATAAAAGTTATACTATATAAACAGTAAAGAAAAAAAAGAAACACTGAAGATCCTGACTTGCAAGCATCCTCACCGTGTACAAACCACCATACAGGCAATTCCCAGTAACTGCAGACGAGCCTTGGGGACAGAGCGCAGGGCCAAGTAGCGATCCACACAACCTACGGTCACATGTAGTGTCAGACTGGAGAAGTCCTTCATGGTGGTCACCTCCACAAGCCAGTCAACCAGGATGTACCTGGAACAACAATGTGGGGAAAAATATGTTGCATGTCATTGTTAAACAAGAATTTTTGGCTTTACAATAAGGAAAACACAATTGTATAAATTGAAGGCATTAATAGAAACATTTCATGCAACACATCCTGATATTACCACAAATATCACGTTTCTTTTATCATATCATCCTAGGTCATTTTCTAATTATGCCTGTGTGTTTTACATGTTATGCTGCAAGTGTTGTTTATTTCTGTTATGTTGCACTGTGGGTCTGCGTCTTTGAGTTGTTGCAGCTACTTTTAATGCTCCATATTTTAAATAGCTCCTTAGGTATAAATAAAGTGAATAGAATTCCCTGGGTGTGAGTGTGAATGGTTGTCTGTCTCGTTTGTCTCTGTGATGGACTTGTGACCTGTCCAGGGTGTCCCCTGCCTCGAGCAGTGATTGCTGGATACGGGCACCAGCAACCCAAAAAGGAAGAACTGGGTAAAGATAATGGATGGATGAATTGAATTAAAATGATGGTAAACGTTCCTAATTAATGTTATGTTTTTGGTAAAAGTGCCACCATTCATTGTTAAAGAACTCTTAAATAGCTACTGCAACAAAATTAATTTGTAATTAATTTACTTATTTTTCTTGTACTGGAGATGAAATGCTGAAATTAGCTGGTATAGTTTTAGATATCTCCCCCAGTCTAATTTTATTATGAAACTTTTACATCAATCTGTTGTCGTTGGTTTGTATTTATGTTAATGTTTTCTTCCTTGAAGGAGAAATGCAGTAAAGCTACAAGAACTATTGTTGATGTGACAACTGGGAAATTAAAATTTCCAACCTTCAGGTGTTAAAAATGAAAAAGGAAAATTATAGTTAGATAATACAAAATGAGATTGACTATTTTCTAATTAAATTTAACACATAATCTAAACTCAAAGTGTGATGGCAAATTCGAACAAATGCTATAATTAGATTTGATTAAGCTTAGATGGACATAAAACAGAGTGACTAGGTTGATTTTTTAAATGAGTTTTGGAACTGAACGCAGTCTTTTAAAAATATTTACTCTCACTATTTTTAATGTTCTCTTTAATGCTATTTAAACCAGAGTCATGAACAGGCTCATTGTTTCAGAAACATCATGGTGGAATTTCTGTTCTGGTGTACCTCATGGTGTCTTTGATGCCTCTATTGAGGATGCCCTGAGCACAGCGTTGCTCCAGATTTGTAGTATTGAAAACCTGGGCCACGATGTCAGAACAGGCTTTGGACTCCAAACCCAGTGGATTCCCACTGCTGCACACTTTCGCCAAAGACAACTGGGGAAAAAAGGCCAAAAGATAAATAAATCAATGACAATATGGTTGAGTACTGCACTCATTTTTGCTGTGTTTGGTGATTTTGCAATCTCGATGAGTCACATTATTATGATACATTATGAAAAAGAAAAAAAAAATGATGTTGGCAACTGTCAAGCCCTTTTGACACAGCGTGATATTGCTTCAGAGAGAACTAAAAGGAGGAGTGGGAAAAGATAAATGAAAGAAAGGCACAAGAGAGGAAAAGCTGTCAAAAGGAACATCACAAAGCTTTTATCACAAAGCCGAGGGAGAATAAAACAAAGAAAGCTGACAGGAGGGGAAAAAAAGAGAACTATTTGAATAGATCAATTTAATTTGTTAATCACACACCTGTGCCTCCCAGCATCCTTTGCCCGCATAGTCTCTGAGAGTCCGCACACACTGCAGGTACCTGCCAGGGTCTGCGATCTGAAATTCAAAACACACATTTCATGTTTTCCTTTGTTTTTAAATATGGAAAGAAAAAAATCCAACTACAATCAAACATTTCTTGATTTGTTTGCTCGATTCTGTAACATGTTTCAAACAGGGGTTCTGTTATTTAGGTGGTGGTTCCACAAAGGGACGTAAAGGCTGTAACTTACAGCAGCTTTGCGGCTGTGCTCCCACAGCAGATAGGAACTGAGCAGACAGCCGGCCTGTGACGACTCCTCCAGCAAAGATACGGCATCTGAGCGTTTTTCTTCCTCCTAAAAACAGGCAGCAGATCTTTTGACACATCTCTAAAAGTGTTGAGCGTTTTGTTCCTACGCTTGTGAGACGGCAGTAAAAGAAGTCTGACAAACACTTTTTCAGCTAATTAATAATGCTCCTGATGTGTCAAACAAAACCCACAAATGCTTTTAGCAACTGACTGAAACTAAGATAACGGTGAAGAAAAGGAAAAACACGTATTTAACTGGGATTGTTAATTATTTGTCTAACAACCAGTATGGCAGCAGCACAAAGATTTACATTTTAATGAGTGATAGAAACTTAACAAACCCCACCCAGAAAGTCAGATTCAGTCTCACTCACTTCAAAGAGCAGCAACACTCTGGCCAGGCAGTGCAACAACGGGCCCCTCTTCTCCTGCAGAGAAAAAGAAAACATTTGGGATCTAAACACTGGAAATAATTTAAATCATGCAAGTCTCCTGAAATATAGCTAAATTACCAGTGCTGTAAATGATACGCATTGTTTAAGTCCCCTGCAATTATTGAAGATTCATCGCAATTCAACATGACTACAACAGCTAATTGAAATTATTAAACACAGAAAAGGTTGGAATTTAGTCAGTTTTAAAGATATTAAGCTAAAATTCAGTGTGGTTGTAGCTGAGAGTCACACACGACAGATTCTGAGTGATATCACATCTTGCAAGATCTCACCCTTTCGCATTAGATCATGCATCATTTACAAGGTCTGCCCAAATGGCAATAACTCCATTTTGTTGTAGCAATTGATAATTTTAGTGGTGGAATAGTTGGTGGGCAATATCTGTTCCTTCAAGGAATTCTGGGCTTTTAATATTAAGCTTTCCCAAGAAGGAGGCACATTTTTCCTGATCTGGCAGCAGCAAAAACCTACCATGTTGTTATCACACTCAGCCTTGAGGCGATCGAACACCACGGCCTTGCAGCAGCTGCCAGTGGGCGACCACGGCGGACGGATGAACACCCAAGTGAAGGGATCGGCTCTGGGAGAGCGTAGGCTCTCCGCCAAACTGAAGAAGTGGGAGGCTTTTCGACCGCATACATCCGCTCGCCCCTCATCACTCAGCAACGCTAGAGGAAAGAAAGATGGCGACAGTGAAGTGTTGTAATCATTTCATTTCAAGATGGTTTAGTCTTTGACATTAAACTGACATTCGTTCAGCAGGAGTGAAAGCAGATATTTACTGTACGTGAAACGGAGCAAAAATAACTGAACTTACGTCCTTCATTGTATAAATAAGCAATTCCAAGTTTCACAGCAGCTTCAAAGTTTCCTTTTTCTGCAGCTCTGAAATGAAGCAAACATTTTACATTAAAAAACGTTGAGCTAAAGTAAAGACCTAGCATTCCTTGAAGGAATGCACAATGCCTGCTTCCTTTCATACCACAGTTTTAGACTAAGAACATTTAATGTTGAGAAATAACAAAGTTGTACCAGTTTGTCAAAATTTAAAGTGATGTTTTAAAAATCACTTAAACTATGTGTTGTGAATGCCTCACAGCTACTACATCACCAAATTTTAGTTCAATATCTGCTAAAATGATTGAGTTAAAGCCATTTTTGTGTTGGATGCAATGGATTAACTGGGGCGGCCATTTTGAATTGGATTTACTCTAAAGGTTAATCAGATCTCACAAAATGAGTAGCACTAGGAGTATATATTGTAAATGACAGTTAGCTTCAAATGCACCACATTTTAGCACAATGTCTGTAAAACTGACACACACACACAAAAGCATTATTGTCCGTCTTCGCCTTTCAGTGGCAAGCGGTAAAAGTGTGCATATCAAACTGATTTGACAGAATGAACTGTACCTTTCAAATAGCCATAAGGTGTTGGGAGATGGCCACCTGTCTCTGAAACTGACCCTGGCCCACACACTGGAGTGTGTGTCCACAATGTCCCGCAGCTGGGAATGAACCTAAAAGAGAAGCCAAACAGATTACCAGGTGTCCATGAGATGAAAAACCCTGCAATAATCCAACGCATATATGTTACAGGTTTGTTTTTTGACTCACCGCTCTGACAGACAGCAGGTCCTCAGCAGAGAGACACTGGAGGACACACAGAACTATTTCCTCAGGTAGGGAAAGCAAGGTCAGGGCTGGAGAACGTTTACGGACCCGCTTCCGTGCTGGAACCAAGTAGCATTTTGAACAACGGCAGTGGACAACTGAAAATAAATCAATTCCAACATATTCAACAACTTTTTTTTTTTACAAACAGCTTTAAATTCAGAACAAACGTGCCAAATACTTTAAAATGTGCACACACAAAAACCACTTAACACCTAAGTGCAAACCTGGCAAACTAATTCACACAGAGACTTCAAACATATATTTGTACTTCATTTAAAACTTGTGACCACTGGGGTCACTACATTAGTAGGATTTGGAAATAGAGTCAAAAAACTGTTTAAAATATATAAAGGCATACTCATACTTGACAATCTTTTGTTTACATGTTCTACTTAAGTTTTACTACTTGTCAGGGAGAAACCATTCACTTGCCTACTGACTAAATGTGTGAATTTTACAGTTCCTTATAAAAACATTTTAGATTGAGTTTCTCATAGGTATAAAATATTAACAACAGACATTTAATCATAAAGTACAATGTACCTGAAACTATCACTGAATATTAGAGCAAATGATCAGTCATATGGTTAAAATATTAAGTGAATGAAGGTTCAGATCAACACACAACAATTATTCCTGCATTACTGAGTAAGGGCAGAAATAATAATGTAATAGTATGAGCAGGCAATAAAGATGTTTTTTGTGAATTAGTACTTTAGTCTAAACATTTCTACTAAGGCAACCTACTCAAAATAACTGGTTAAATGTGAAAATGTTTTGAAATAGTGGCCCTGTTATTACTTTATTATAATTAAATAAGAAAACCCTGGACATTTTTGTTGCATTAGAGCGAAGCTAACAGAGTGTACCGAGCATTAGTGAGCGCCCAAATTTCCCTCCTGTGGTTCAATCAAAGCGTTAACCTGTGGCTTGGTTCCATTAGTTTGCACTGAAGATATTAGTTGACAATTACCACAAACAATATCGTCATAATTTTAGAATTAGCCGAATGTTATCCTGTTTAATATTGACAAACTTGAGCGAGCGTTGCTTCAAGTTCATTCACTAGTACATCCAGCTAACGTTTCAGATGTCAGATTTAGCAAGCAGAGAATCAGCGTCAACAATGATTAAATACGGGGTTTCAAAGTTGTTTTATATTAAGTTTATACATACGATGCTGGTAAGGACGTTGGGTTTTAGAAAAGTTACTTACCGCCTGCTTTCATTGCAAGTAGTGATCTTTCCTTGCGCACGACGCCTGTATAGCTGTAACCGATAAGCAGTTTCAACGTAGAGACAAGCTAATAGTAAAATAAGCTAAATTAGCAAAAGTTTTGACAACAGAACAAATTATAGAGTGTTATAATTTATGTTGGAGCTGACTAGTAACTACTATACAAGTTGACTGAATTCAAATTCAAGCACGAGTCCTGACATGGGACCGCCCCAAAGTTACTCAAGGACCGCCCGCGCCCATGGTTTAAACTCCGTGTTGAATTTCATTTGTGAAAAGCGATGACGCCTATCTACGCCATTGCGATCATTTGATTGGTCAGTGTGAATAACAAGGTCACTGATTGGACAAACGATACAAACCGTAAAATATCGGAAGCTCATTGGAGGACGTAATGCCATTTCGAAGTACGCGCTTCACAGTGCGCGTATATGATTGGTTGACCTGATTACGAATGCGCCTGCCTCTTAGCAAAGGACTGTGGGAAATGTAGTTGGCCATTAACATTGTGTTTAAAGGTACCTAATTTAAAGGGGTATGCACGCAATAATTCATTGGGTGTACCAGGGGTCTGCAACCTGCGGCACATGCGGCTCTTTCAAGCTTTGACCAAAACTGACATAAAACTGAATTGTACTGGTTATACAAACAATAAAAAAGGATTAGTTCAGACAGTTTTCCCGTCATTTCTTTTGCAAATATGTGAACACTGGAGTAAAACATGCTTAAACTTTATGCTTTATTTTTTTTATATGAAGAACTGTCTTCATAGTTTTGTTGTTGTTGTTTTTTTAATTAAAAAGGTAAAAACTGATTTTGCCTTCACCCCCCAGATGGCTGCCACAGTTAACTGAAATTAGAAAGCAGAAAAAAAAATGGATTCAACTTAAGCAGTTTTACAGATAATGAGCTAAAATTTGTTGTGGTAGTAGCTGAGTTTTACCCCGAACACATACTCAGAATCATAAGTTCGTAAGGACAAATGGGCAATGCAACACCAAAAGGTAAAAAAAAAAAAAACATAATGAAGCATCTAAATCACTGTCCAGTCAACAAGAGGGTCTGCTATACGTGGAAACCTCTGTGACCCCACCTGCTTTCATTTGAGCATCCAAATTAAGCCCTTTACTGTAATGCATTCTCTTTAGGTTGTGGTAGGAAGAGCTCCACGTGTGTGCTTTCACATACATGTCACACAGATTACCACAGTTTACTAAAACTTTGTGAAGTTAGCTGTCACATCAATAAGGTGAGCAAAGCCATGGTGTAATAGATGTACATTTTCAACTTTGGATCCACATCAAATCAAGATTGCCACTGCAGCTAATCAACATTAACCAATACAAAAATGGTTGTAACTTTACAGGTACTGAGCTAACATTTTATGTGTTTGTAGCCAAATGCCAACACAACCATGAGATCTAACCATAGCATGAGATTGTGCAAATCATTGTGCAAGGTTTGATTAAAACAGTTATACCTCAACCAGGTCTCATCATAGTTTGATATTAGCTTGAAACTCTGGCGTGAAAGATGATGGGCGATATGCATTCCTTCAAGAAATGCTAGGTCTTTAACATTTTTGTTTTATTAGAGACTTTAAAGTAAAAAATAAAAAAAATCAGCTACATGCTTAAGAATGTACTTTCAGAATTATGTGATTTGTTGTTCAAGAAGAGTAAAAAAAAAATGCCTCTTAGTAGTTGTTCCGTTTATTTTTTCTTAGTGTACAGTAGAAATAACAAAATGTGACTGCATCCATGTCTTCAGATTACATAAAAAATGATTGTATGACCAAGTAGTAGTGTGAATGAATAAATTGATTGATTTGGCCTTTGAGGCAGTGTTAAGAGGAAATAACATAATTAGGATCTTATTGGCCATAAATTAAGTGCTCTCTCAACTGAATAGTGTCCCTCTTGATTGCTAGTCTTTTGAAGGCGGTCACAAAGAAGCCAGATTAATCTGTTGTCTCTTTCAAGCTCATTATTGATTTGCACATCACCTGCTCATTTGATCTCATCGCACAAACAAGGAATTATCTTTACCACTCACTGTAAGGATAACTGGAGATAAGACATGTTTAAACAGCATTTGATGCAATTCCTAAAAGCACATTTTGTTATTGAGTACTTTGCATGAGTGATGGTGATCAAAACCAATTAGTTTCTTTTGTTTTCCTGTTCACTTTCAGGGAAATTAAGGTCTTGCTCTGGTTAACACTAAAGGTCCAGAGTGATCAAATTATCTTGTAGCTGAGTGACCTCAGTCAGGGCAAGGAAGGGCTCTACATCCACATCTAGACACAGTTTCCATAGAAACTCCAACCCATCTCCACCACATTCTCAGTAAAAGCAATTAGAGAGAACATTTAACCCAAATAATTAAAGAAATCACACCACACATAGTGTGAGGTCTATAATATATTTCCTCTAAGTATACACTATTATACTTTTACACAAAAATGCGTCATTCCTTGAGGAGGTAAATCTGATCTGACGGAAAATAACGACTGCATGTGTAAGAAATGGCCTAAAGGAGAAAAGCATCCACTAAAGAGTCAAGGATTTCCACCTTAATAAAGCAACACTTCCTATTCATTTTCCTCCAGATATAATCCAAGATTTTTCAAATTTAGTTTGTGAGACAGTATTACTCAGTTATTACTTCTCTTGTTGCATCTAATGCCTATTAATCACATTTGTGACACCGAGCTAGCATTTTAATATTATTTTTCCCCTGATTTGATTCAAATGTCTCACCCAGCACACCTTAAAGGTAGTCGCTGCAACGTCTAGAACACCAGTCCAAACAAACAGACAAGACAAATAAATAAATCACACATTAAGAAAAAAAAACGTACTTTTTTCATTTCAATAATGTTAATGTTAAATATTTGTGAGCAAAAATGGCGAATTTTGCTAACAAAATGGTCAATTTACTGCACTTATATAGCACTTTTCTATCATATCAAGATACTCAAAGTGCTTTACAACACAATCTGTGCCCTCATTTTCCTATTCATACAGCACTCTACTACATCTGTACAAAGAATAATCAGTGCTTTATCACATTCATACACCGATGGGACAAACATCTGACGCAACGAGTTCATTGTCTTGCCCAGGGACACTTCAGCATTTGACTGCTGGTGGAATTGAACCCCGACTTTTGCAATGGAGGACGACTGCTCTAATCACTCAGCCACAGCCGTCCTCCAAGAATTTCAAAGTGTGACAATGAGTCCAGTTTATGCTCAGATTTGTTGAGAAAAGAAAGGGTAGGTTGAAACAGTAAACCGGTCTAGAAGTTTTACCAAAACCACGTTTGAATGCTGAGCTCTCTTTCAGGGGCTCCACTGCTCTTTCTTAAGCCCCAATATTTATTGACAGTAGTTTTACTTGTTCTCTTTGTTTTTCCATGTTTAACGGATTCAATCATCTAAATGTCTTATCTGAGGTGCAACACTTTTCCAATTCTGCCACTCGTTTACCAACAGACTCCAGCCAGTTAAATGCAGATCAGTTACATAGCTGACTTCCTCGTGGTTCATTCTTCGTTTGCATTGAGTGCATACCCGCATTTCATGATATCTGGAAAACAATTTGAGTTAACTTTTTCAAAATGCAGCATTTGATATACTTCAGGATAACTTTTTATGTTTACTGTAATACCAGTTTGCAGTGAGCTTTAATCTCTGTCTACATCTGTTGCTAAAATAATTGTATCAGAGACAGAATTAAAATGTAACTCTGTCCTTCCACCAAAGTATCAGCTGCAGCTCGTTGCAGGCAGTGACTAATTAGTAACAGATTTGCCTTTTGCACATGCTGCTGATTGGACATTTGATTTAAACATAAATAAAACCATCAGGCATTGGGTGGCTTGAATCCAGATTTCATAATGCCACGTTGCGCTGCCTGTTGCATCTTTAAACCAGAGTCAGTTTTGTGTAACAAAAGTTTGATAAAAGCCAAATAGTTCTGAATGTCTGGGTCTGAAGCCAAGTCCATGGAGAAGGAGAGGCGGATGAGTTGCTCCCATCTGGTTTCCTGTGATCTGTGCTGACCCGTTGCAGTCCAAATGACCACTTCCACCCCATCTGCACTTTACTCATGCAGGCCCCTCCACCCTGTAGCCAGATCTAAACTCAGTTCCCTCCACACCATTTTCCCACATTACATCAGTAAATATTAAGTTAGAAATTTCAAATGGACTCATGTTGAAGAAAGGAGAGGTATAACTCTTACCTTTGTGTTGGTGAGAAACATGTAGAGTTTCTCAATAAGGGTTTACCAGTAGAGGGAGTCATTTATTATGGTTGACAGTCTGTTCTAAAGAAGATTGTTTAAAAAGTTGCATAACTCTGATTCAGCTGATTGGGCATGGCAGGTAGTAGCAGACTGAGCCCCAAAACATATTATGAGCAACAACAGATAACACAAGAACTGTGTTGTTGCCCGTTAGCAACATATATCACTGGACAGATTTAAATGGATAATTTAGAAATTAATAATTGGTAGGTCATCTGTAAATGATTAACTTTTGGAGTCAATCCAATTCAGGACGGCTGCCACAATTAAATGGCATTAGCCGACACAACTATAGCTATAACTTTGTCAAATTCACAGAAATTAAGCTAAACTTTTATGTGACAGTAACTGAAAATCATTCCCAACACACAATTAAAAAGCTAACACGTCTAATCATATCGCATGAGCTCAAGCATAACTTTTTATTTTTTTTAAACATTTGACCAAAATGCCAGAACCAGTTCTCCATGTAAGATAGTCTTCGCATAAAACTCTGGCATGAAATGTGGCGGGTGATACACATTCCTTCGATGTTCATTTTCAATTATTTTAGAACCAGTCGAGCGATGTTTGCAGCACTGTTAGACCAGAGTTCCCTCACACACACACAAACATACACACACCAGACTTTTCTGAAGTTTCTAAAAAATAAACCAGTTCAATAAGTGTTTTCTTTAAA